TCACTTCGATTCATAGTGCATTAACACAGAATAGCACACTAAGTCCTTCTTAGCACAGAGCCATGTGGGGGATCCCCAAACTGGGTGTAAGACAGTGGCACTGAGAGCAAAAGTGAAGCTTTGTCATCTCCCCACAGAGAGACATTTAACACTGTTTATTCTCTTAATTAATCACATTTCTAAGCAAACCCAAGAGCCCAAGAGAACTGACTTACAGATACCATCAGCAGAATCTTTCCAAGAGCACTTAAGCTCAGGACACAGCTGATAAATCAACCACAAATAACAGGGGTTTTAGAATTCTCTATCCACTTTCCAAGGAAACATTTCGAGAGTGAAATTCTACTAGGCCCAGCTTGAGGTTGAACTGCATATGTATTAAAGAAGTCAGTGAGCGAACAGAAATGTCTTGGTTAAAGATGAGTTTTGACTGGGCTAAGGGAGGTATATCCATCATATGTGGGATCCCGCACAGGGCACTTTTCTTATTACTGTGACTTGAGACATCACACAACTTCTATAGAGAATTGACACACAGGGCCAAGAACCAAACCCAGCTACCTTCTAAGTTGATGCATGTGTAATGCAAGGGAATCAGAATTAGCCTCCTGCTGATAGATTTCCTGATTTATATTCTCCTATAAAACTAAAAGCAACCCCCAGGTGAGAAGGCATAAGATCCAGAAGTTGAACAAGGAGAGGTTTTCAGCAGCTGTTCTTGGACCCTGCAGAGCCCCTCTTCTGGAGTCCTGCACATGATTCTGCAAGGCCAGACACGGAGAAACAGTCTTTCACTAAGAAAATAACCTCCTCATCTGTTAGCTGAAATGTCTTCCATCCACCATGATATGTCAAGAAAATATTTTGTTGTTGAAAAAACCATGGAATTGGCATACTGGGAGATGAATTGCTGCGTGGCAGAGGGGGCCAGAGCCTCCGACCCTGTGGTGGAAGGCACCCCCAGGAGCCCAGGAAGGATATGGTGTCACTGTCATCTCCACATGGAAGCCTCCTGGAGGGCAAGAGAAGACTATTTTCTCAAGAGTGGCCTAGGACCTATCCATCCTGCCCTGTGTGTATCACGTTGCGTGGCTCATGGTGGGCACTTGACAGATGGTTAGATAATGTTAAATGACCCTGAAGACTGGGTCAGGTTTAAGTGCACAGCACACTCAGAACAAATGGAGGCTGCCGTTACCATGGCTCACCTGACTTACAACCCGCACTGGGCTATGCACTCATTGGGCTGAAAAATTGGCAAAGGGGATGGGAAATGTCAGTATAAAATCGTTCACTTGGAAACCGTCAGCGCTGGTATTGGTCATGATGTCATCATCCTTGGTAAGCACTGGGTTAAGGTGTTTGTGTTTGTGGCTTGTCTTGTGTGTCACCTGGGGGTTGATGGGTACCTTAATCACCAGGTGACATATGAAAAAAAAGGCTCAATGTCACCAATCATTAGCAAGATGCAAATTAAAACCACAGTGACGTAGTACCTGACAGATATCACTTATTAGAATGAATATTACCAAAGAGCCTAGAGATGGCACATGTTGGTGAGAGTGTGGAGAAAAAGGGAACTCTTGTACGTTGTTGGTGGGGATTTCAGCACAGCCATTATGGAAAACTGTATGGAGGTTCCTCAAGAAACTAAAAATAGGATTTTATATGACCCAGCAATTCCACTTCTGGATATCCACCAAGATTTTAAATTAGTGTGTCTAGGAGGTCCCTGCACACTGTGTTCACCACAGCACTATCCACAGTAGGCAAGTTAAGGAATCGCCTTGTGTCCAGCAAGGGATGAGTGGATTAAAAATTGTACAGATACGCACTGAAGCACTATTCAACCTGAAAAAGGGAAGAGATGCTTGCCATTTGTGACAACATAAGTAGAACTGGAGACTGTCACGCCAGGTGAAGTAAGCCAAAAATAACGGCATAGTCTCACTGTCTGTTGAATCAAAACAATGAATTCAAACAAGCTGAGGGTAGGATGGCTGCCACAGAGGCTGAGGGGTGGGCAGGAGAAGGAGGGAACAACAATCAAAGGACATAATGCCTCAGATAAGAGGAATGAAGTTGTTTGATTCTTTTTTTTTTTTTTTTTTTTAATTTGTTGCACAGTGGCTAGGAGCTGATAATGTACACTTTAATGTCGCTGGAAGGACAGATCTCAAAGATGCCTGTCGTGGAAGATATCAAATGTTGTTTTTTTTTTTAAAATTTTATGTTTAAATTTTTTATTTATTTATTTTTTATTTATGTATTTATTTATTTGGCACATCTTCATCAACTTGTTGAAAATAAAAAGTTCTGAACTTGAAAAGTCTCTTAAATACACTACTAAAGAAAAACTTTATACAATGCGAATAAGTAACTGCTAGATACCTGGAATTACCATGCCCTCCTGGTATACCTAGCTCAAACGAAAAGAAAAGCACAAATTTCTTAAGAATGCTTTCTTCTGAAATGGCATGTGACATACCAACTTTTTTCTTAAGCATTTTAAAATATTTTATCAGTGCACGATAGTTATACATAATAGTGGGGTTCATTTTGATGTCATTGTACCTGAAATATAATTTGCTCCATTTCAACCCCCAGTACTACTTCTTTCCCTCCCCTCCATCCCCCCCCCTTCCCCTTCCTCTGGTCTCCTGGTCTTCCTTGTATTTGTTCATTATTTTTAAATGGGGGCTTTGTAGATACACGTCCAGGTGGAATTCCCTGTGGTATATTCATATATGGACATAACATAATCTGGTCAAATTCACTCTGCAGTTCTTCCCTTCTTTACCAGTCCCTCCACTTCACTCCCCTTCCTTGGCTCTGCTGACCTTCCTTCTATTTTCATGGGATTCCTTCTCCCTTTTTCCCCCTTATTTTGCTCTAGGGAAAAAAGCAGGGGAGGGAATCCCATGAAAATCTCATATTTTTCTGTATATGAGAGAAAAATTCAACCCTTGACTTTCTGGTTTATTTCACTAGGTGTGATGTTCTCCAGTTCCATCCATTTACCAGCAAATGCCGTGATTTCATTCTTCTGTAGGGCTGACATACCACATTTTCTTTATCCATTCTTCTGTTGGATATCAGATGTTTGAGGCGACGGCTGGGTTGGTTGACTTTGTTTAGCCCTGACTTGGTATTCAAAAGTCATGCTGTTATTTTGTATCCCATTAATATGTTCAGCTGTCATTTCTCAATATATATTAAACTACAAATAAATAATAGAATCGCTTAAGTGGCTCCCATTGTATTTCTATAGGAGAGTGCTGCTCTATCTCACAGGAAGTGAGAACATCTCTGCTCCAAAAGCTTAGATGGGTTTTTGCCCTCACAGCAAGGGGACAGTGTCTACTGGCAGCCAAAGAACAGGAGTCAGCTGCCAGGGGGTAGTGCTGTAGATGTAGCTAGGACCATTCCTCGGACTCCCAGGACCACCAGGGAGAGGCTGGGGGATCCTCAAACACACTTCTGTTAGAACCTGCTAGAACTTGGGGGAGTCCGCTTCTCTGTGGCTGCCATGGCCCAAGCTGCCTCCTCTGTCTATTAGTCTTCTGTTGTATGTGCTACTGATAGAGCCTTGTCCAGGTTCACTTAGAAGGATGTGATCTGTCCCTGCTTAGCCTCAGGGAGACTTTGTGCAATCGCAGTCCTCTGGCCTGGTGTCTGAGAGAGGCAGTCAGACAGAGTAGCTCCAGTTCCAGAGCTGGGTTCCGCAGGGTTGGCTCCTGCTCCCAGGATACCTCCCCCTGCACCCCAGGTTCAGAGTGGACCTGCTTACTCCACACAGCCTGGAGGGGCTGGCAGACACCAGAGAGAAAGGGCCACCAGTTGCAGGAAGGAGCGGGGGCTCTATAAAAAAGCAAGACCCCCTGACTCCCCTGGGCAATCAGCTTTGGCCCTAACTTCTCTCCAAAGAAGCTTGCTATCTCTGTTCTGTCTCTTTCTTAAATAAAATTCGCTTTCTACGCTTGCCTCAGTGTTTCTGGGGTGTTTAATCTTCAACACCAGGGGAACGAGGACCCAATTTTGATTTCCAAGACCAGTATCACTTTAATCCAGTGAAATTCTGATAGAAGTCTAATCTACAGGACAGACCAAAGCCTGGTTGAGAGGAAGGCAGCCTGTCGGGCAGGTCTGCCTTAGGCTCCCTCCTGCCCCTGTGCAGCCTGTGGGTGCCGTGGAATAACTGCTTGGGTTCCCCACTCCCTATCCCTTTTCCTGCAGCCTAATCTTTAAACACCTGCTCAGGTGTCTTCTGTGTATCGAATGGAAGCTCAATCCTGGCGTGTGACTGTGGGCGGCATGGTGGGCAGGAGGCCCAACAGGAGAGGGGAGCTGGAGCCTTGGCTTGCTCACCAATCCCTATTTGCTTCCTTAGCATGTCCTTCACTGTCCGGCCTCAGTTGTCTTGTATCATTCGTTTCTGGCCCAGCCCTATGAGAATTTGAAAATGTAGGAAAATGAAACGGGAGGACAAATGCAATTTTGCATGACATTTCATGCTCTGCTCATGGGAAACAGAGGGGTTTCCTATACTAAGTACTTTTGGATTAGGTTGACTTCTAGACTCCTTTAAAAAAATATTATGCAAATGTGGACTTATCAAAAGGTAAGTTTTTTGCAAATAATAATTAGCAATTTGAACATAACATTTTATTAGTGATTGTTAATGAGCTGCCTTTTGTTTGCTGGTAAATAAATATTAAGGGATATCATGAGAAATTATGAAACCTTTAGAATAGCAACCCTTTAATTCTGCCACTGGCCAAACAGTGAATCAAAAATATTTGCTTCTTTGCTTTCAATTAATGAGTCAAAGGCTCATTAATTCAATTATTTACCTACATTAAAAAATAAGAACAAAACTATAGAATACTATACATAGAAGTAATAATTTGTAAGCATAGATAAACCTATTTTTTCTAAATATGCATTTTATATTTTTCCTGAAAAAATAATTTTGCTATTTTGTGGCTCTTTTCCCCCAGACTCCATCAGAAAATTTATACGGAACAAATTTGAAGTCTCAGCTGTTTATGACGAGGTAATTTTTTATTGATGTGTTTGTTATTAAAAATAACATGTATGAGAAAAATCTTGGCTGAGTTGCAAATAGATCTTCAAATAGCCATTATTTAATCAGTAATTTCAGTATCCTTTGTTATCGGCCATTGAACAACCTTATCGATCCTATTTTAATGACAGCAGAAATTTTGAAAGTAGCATTTGAAGAAAATCTTTCAAACTGTATGTTGTTAAGAAGTTAAAATTTCCCCCAAAGAAATATTAACATTTTTTAGCAAAGGGATAAGAGTAGACTTGTTTGAAAATCTCTACAATTGGTGACAGATTGCTTCATTTTAGAAGACAACCGGTTAGAAAGTAGCTTCACCTCCATAAGTGACCTTCAGAGAACAGGGAGAGTTGGTTCTGTCCAGAAGCTCCTCCAAGAGGGATTGACTTTGGGGTGGAAAGGATAAGAGGTCAAGAGCAGGTGGGAGGTGTCTCTGTCGCATCCCAGACTGGGAACCACGTGAGCCAAGGGTCAGGTATGAAGGAAGCAGGTAGGTTGACCAGAGAGAAAGGAAGGTGAGTCAGGACCCCATCAGCAGGCGAGTGGACAGAATCTCAGAAAGTACCTCTCTGCTTGACACTCACGGTGCTGCGGATTCACTGGTTTGGTTTTGTGACTGACACCTAAATGGAAGGATGTTCGTTCTTTTGATCTTGGTTTGTTATGAGAGTAGGTTTTCTGGGAAACCCACAGACAAATAATTGCTGCCTTGTATGGAGAACAATAAAAATTAGTTGAGTCTGTTGGTCACTTTCTCGGTCCTTAGCAAGGTAAGCAAGGCATGTGGCCCTGTTCTCTGCTAGAGTAGCTGAGGTCCTTGAGTTCCAGTAAGCAGAGGTCCTGGTGGACATTCTTTACTGACTAGCGCCACAAATCTCAGTGCTAGTGTTTGAGTGGGGGCAGTTAACACTTGCCCAGTGGACAGTGACCTCAGGTGCTATAGTTATAAATGACCTCATCATATTCTCAATTTGCAATAAAATGCTACTCAAGAGAAAAGTGAATATAGAAGTCAAAGAGAAAACCTTCTCTAAATGTCATTTATATCTGATGGCAGGAAGGCCTAAGATGGCGGAGGAGCCTTCCTCCTTCCTGGATGCAGCTCACTGCGAAAGCATTTTACCCTTCAGTGCCACTGCACTGACCATTCCAGGATTCTTAACTGGACAGCTCCTTCATGCTCAGCTTAGTATTAAATTGGGAGCTGCTCTGCCCTCGGGGATACTGATAAAAACCGATGAGGGAGGGGGGTAGAGAGAGGATACAGACCTGAGCCCACTTGAATGAACTGAATGTTCCCTTAACGTGGAATTGGATCACACTTTCTACGGTTATCCAGGGAGAAGGGATTTAATTAAGCAAAGACACCAAAGAAGTCAGGGCATCTTGGGAGGGCTGGGTTTAGTCAGGTAACTGCTGCATTTGATAAGTTGTCCCCAGTGCCCCCTGAGTCAAGGAGTGAAGAACAGGGAGGGGCAGGGAACACCAACTGGGATGTGGGGAAGGGTTCCAGTGAGCCACCTGCCCAGGGGGTAACAACTGCGTACTGCAGAAGAGCCCTGGGAACCTGCAAAACATCAGCCTCCAGGTTACCTGGGGAAGGAAGGGCCGGGGAACTGCAGTTTCTATATACCAAGACCAAGCTGCGCTGCCTAAGGGCTGCTTAAGTGTGGAGGACAGCGTTCACTTCTGAGTACTTCTGACCTTCTGTGATTCTGGAGAAAGCCCTCAAGCAGAATTAACGATGCCGGTAGTTAGAAGTCTGAGGAGGCACACCAGGATGGTAGAGGCCCGAGGGCATGGGCAGGCACCGAGGACGACTTCACTGGGTCCACATAGCACAGGCACACAGGTAAGGACTGTCCAGGTGAGTGGTCCTGGGGTCGAGCCTTCCTGGTCTCTTTCTCCTGGCTCTGTGCTGCATCTTTGGGTCCCTTGATGGCCGAGGACCTGGGCAGCTGAGTCAGTGATCTCTGTTTGGGGGTCTTCAGCGGACTTTCTTCCTAAGGAGATTCAAAAGCTGTCACAAGTGTAGACCTTTTATTCCAAGGAGTGAGTGACCCTTGGACCCCTTCTCTTTCGTGACATTTTTTTTTTACCCAGGCTTTTTCTCTCTTTTAGTTATTACAGTGTAGTTGCTCAATTTATATTTATGGAGTTCCAGTTAGGATCAATGCATGGTAGGGGTTCAAACATGCCAGAGTATGGCTCTTCCTCCAAGAATTCAGAGTTGGCGAAAGAGAGGCCAAGAAACAGACAAGTGCTTGGATGATATGGGCTGACTTGCGTCCAGAATTCTCACTTTCACGTCGTCTTACTCAGGAGCTCAGAACGTGACTATATTTGGACAAAGGATTTTCAAAGAGGTAATTACTGAAATGAGGGTTAGGGTGGCCCTCATCCATTATAACTGGTGTCCTTATAAGAAGGGAAAGCAAGGACACAGTTAGGCAGAGAAAAGCACGTGATGCTCCAGCCAGAAAGTGAGCGCCCTCAAGCCATCCAGGAGAGAGGCAGCACAGAAACCAGCCCTGCCGGCACCTTGACGTGGCATTCTGCAGCTTCTAGAACTGTGGGGACATGAGTGTCCACTGTGGAAGCCACCGTGTCTGTGGTGCTCTGTCATGGCAGCTGTGCAGACTGAGACCCTGGGTAACTGGCCAGCGAGATGGAGGGGTATGTGTACCCCGTGATCAGGGCCAGGGTGTTCAGAGAGGGACCCTGCCCTGGGGAAACCAGGGAGGACTCCGTGTGCAGCTGGCCTTTAAGACTGACTGAAAGGCCAGGAGAGTGAGAAGTAAAGTCTTACATCCACCAAAAACACTTGGCTGGAAGCACCAGGCCACTCAACAGCTTCTGAAAGCCTGTTCTTACACTAGCTCACCATCTTCCCTGTGAAAGTAGGAGCCGCCATCTCTGGCTGTCTGTGCCAGGCTCTGGGTTATGAGCGTTGCCTTGTTTCTAACTCTCACAAGGACAGCCTTCCAAGGAGCAAGCAATTGTGCCATTGTAAAGGCAGAAGAAGTCCTGTACTCAGAGAGGCCAAGGGAACTCGCCTAAGGTCACCCAGTGGCTAAGTGAGGAAGCTGGGATTTGCACCCAGACCATTTCTGACTCTGAAAGGACGCATAGCATCAATGAAGGTGAGCCTTGTTCCAAGCCACAGGACTGCTTGGAAGAAACAGGTCTTATCTGAGCTCTTTGGCTGTGTGCAGAGAGTGTCACGGACTCAGCTGTCCTTGCACATTTTCAGCCACAAATTTTTAGAGTGGGTGATTGTCCCTGGGCAGAAATGGTCACATCCCAAGTTACCTGTTACTCCAGTGTGACTGAATCCCCAGTTTGCCGAGGAAGGAATACTGAAGGTGTTCTCAGAGAACCTGTGAGAGATTCTATAGCCAGGATGAGGCATGGGTGGAGGCAAGTCTGGGTGGTGGGGGACTAAGCTCTCCTTGTCTTTGAGTAAGTCTTAAAGGGGGATCATGGGGCTGTGATGAGAAAGGAGCAGTGAACAGATGACCTCAAAACATCTCTGATGGTCCTGGTGCCCTCAAACGGAATCACAGCATCTCCTCAGCACGTGCCGGGTCCCAGACGTACTTCCCTGTGACCGATATCTGCTGATTCTTCTGGTTTTCACAAGACTCGTCTGTCCATCTGAGGTGCTGAGCCAGAGAGAACACGGGCAGCTGAAGTGTCCACCCCATTTATTGCCAGGGCCTGGGCTCATGATACAGAAGTGAGCCACACCACCCTCAGCCCTTTTCGCAGAGCTCCGGAACCCGTTCTCTTGGGGGTCAGAGCTTGGGGGTGAGCCACTTCCCAGACCCTCCACATCCTGGTTGACGGTACAAGAGGAGTACAGCATGGTGTCACTCAGTGACATGCTCCCTTGGGGTTCTGCCTAGAAGGCAACTCGAGAAGGCAAGCCTAGCACTTGTCAATTAAGAGGAAGGACATGGTTCTTACGTGATAGAATGCCTGGCTTGGGGCATCTGGGTAGATTCCTTAAAACCACCTCCCACTGATAACCCGTAAGTATTATCCACAGTTTTCAAGGGCAACCTTTCACGGAGTCCATTCTCCTAGCAGACCCTCCCCACCTGCTGCTTGCCATCTTGGTTGTTCTGTGCATCTCTGTCAGCGGGACTCACGAATTTCCTTGTCATGGTTACTGGATTCGTTTCCACGTGGTGGTGTTTTACCTCTACTCTTATTTCTTGATCAGCTCTCTACTAGATTCAGCCGCTTCATCCTTTCCTCATTTATTTCATTTCTCACTTATTTCCTTGCCCTTTCTTTATGTTTCCTCTGGGGAAAGGTACAGGGCTTGGGACTCGTCCCTGTTGCTGTGACAAACTCACTAGCACTAACATCCTAAAAAATCACTGGACACCAATGCGGCATTTAGTAAATGTTAGGTGCTCACACAAGCAGGGTTGTGAGTTTGGATGCCACCTACTTATCTGAGGCGTAAGTGACTTAGCTCCCGTTTCCGGCCCTCCCAGGGGGACAGGACACTCTGCCAATAAGAAAGCTCAGTTCCCTTGCCATGGCATATGGAGAGCACAGGGCAGGGTAGTGCACCACCAGGAATCACAGTTCAAGGCTCCTGGAGCTCAGGTGGCGCTTGAGCATCACCCTGGCAGGCATTGGTCTTAGGAATTCGAGAGTATCAGTTCACTTAACATTCATCAAGACACCTGGAATAGAAGAAGGCACAAATCACATTCCTGCCGTTTTCTCATGTAGTTCTTGCAATAGCAGCATAAGGTATGGTCTCGGCTTATTCCCATTCTGTCAGCCAGGAAACTGAAGCTCAGTGGAGTGTGGATAGCAATGTCTAGACCCCATTCTGATGTAGTTGTTCAGGGTTGGCTGGCTACTGGTATGTTTTAAATGCTCCCTAAGTGACCATAATGAGCAACTGGAGTAGAGAATCACAGACACTAAGTGGCAGAGCCAGGACTCACACTGCCACATTACACAGAAGATAAGATCTGCATGACAGCCAGCGTGGAAAGAGAAACAGTGAAATGCACCCGGCTCCCCAGAGGTGTGGGCTGCCACCCACCCTATCATGCGTATCAGGGCAGGGTGACTCTTGGGTGGAAGAAATGAACACGAAAGAATCGGCTGATTATTGTAACTTATGGGTGGCTCTGCCCCGGCCACAGCCCAGAGTGGCCAGCCATTGTAGCCAAACTAGGGCAGGGTTCCCACACTGAACTAACGGTGAGTTCAGAATAACACTTCAATCACCAGGGCTCTTATTAAAGACAATTGCTGGTCTTTCCACATGTCCTGACTCACACACTCTAGGATAGAGCCCGGAAGTCAGTGTTTTTAACATTCACTGTGAAGTGCTTGTGGTTGGCACATTTGGGATACTGAGCCCTGAGGGTTAATAAGCCTATGGGACCAACTCGGGATGCTGAGGAAGAAGGATTGAAAGTTTGAGGCCAGCCTGGGCAACCTAGCAAGGCCCTGTCTCAAAAATAGAATGAAAAAAAGACTAGGGATGTGGCTTATGGGTAGAGTGCTCCTGGGTTTAATCCTCAGGGCCACATATACGTACAAAAAATTAAGCATAAAATCCATAATGACTTCCGTTTTCCTTCCTACACATATCACCAGAAAAGGATAGTTTTATAAATTGAGCAAATCTAGCTTTATGGAAAACTCATCGCATCTTCACTATGGGTTGGTCTATCCCCAACACTGCCAGCCCCCATCTCTGCACCATTGTTTAGGAATTGTTGGTGAACAGTATACGGTTGGGTCTCCTGTTCCTCAGTTCATCAGTTCATCAGAGTTTGACTGGGTGACTGTTAGTGCCAGGTCCTGGGCTGGGCACCTGGGAGCATACGGTGAGCATGACTGTCACAGGTCTTGCTCTCCCAGACATAAACAGGGTGTGGAGATAGCTGTATGGCAGCTGGTTCCTCTACGGAGCATCTCTGCTGCCACAGGCCAAGTGTAGGGCTCCATGGTGGTAAGTAGAGGATGTTGGGCACCCGAATGTCTTGAGGAGGCAACACCTAGACTCAGTGTTGAGTTTCATCAGGAGAAGAGCAAAAGAGAATAACGTTCTGGGTGAAGATGCAGCACTGGAGGGAACAGAATGAAGAAGGGCAGCACACAGGACACGTTCTGGGGACGTTTTATAGGGTGACAACAAACACCTTAAGATGGTCAAGGATGGTTGAGAAGAACAGGCACCTGAAGCCAAGATCAGATGATACAGAACCGATTGAAAAGTTTGGAATAAAAATGGCGGAACTCCATTGACCACTGTGAAGCCAGGAGGACACCAGCAGATTTCATTTTAGAGAGGATGGGACTCTAGTCAGCCTCTGGTTTTCTCTTTTATGAAGATCACATGGTTAGCATGCTAAGCATTTGTGACTTTCTAATTCACTTTTTCACAAGTGACCCATACTGATTAAAAACCTTTCTCCAGGTGTGGCACACGCCTGAAATCCTAGCCGCTTGTGAGGCCTAGACAGGAAAATCATAAGTTCAAAGCCAGCTTCTGCAATTAGCAAGGCCCTAAGCATCTTAGTGAGCCCCTATCTCAAAGTAAAAAATAAAAAGGGCTGGGGATGTGGCTCAGTGGTTAAGTGCCCTTGGGTTCAATCCCTGGTACAAAGACAAAACCAAACCAAGAAGCTTTCAGTAATTGAAATGTAAGTTTCAGAACTTGGCTCTACTCAGAACAGTTCCTCAAATGCACACTCAGGTATTACACTTCTTTCTTATGTCGTTCTTCTGTTGCTTGATTTTCTCTGTGTGGGTTGCTAATGTTCTCGGTTGTGGTCAATCACTCACGTGACTTTTCCTGTCTGTTTTCTTGATGCCGCTGCCTCTGCTACACACAAACTCCTCAACTGCTTTGACTTCACAGCCAGAAAACATAGTCTTGATCCTGAAGGTAAAGCTCATGTCTGCTGTCGCTCGCATGTTGCTCTTTGCCTGAAGGCAGTTAAGTAGCGCTGCTTTGCTTAGAGCTTTCTGTTCTTATTTGCTGCCTTCCCTTTGATGGTTTTTAGTTATTCATTTCATTGTTGTTTCTACATTCATCTTTAATCTTGTCTTGAGCATAATCTAGTGCTTTAAGATCTTGGTGTATCAAAAAATAATTTGCATACTCCCAGATCTTGCCTAGCCTTTAGCCTAGGAGTCGACTTTCAAAATGATGCATTCTGAGTCTCCATACTGCCTGATTTAGCCAGCAACATTGGGAAGGTTCTACAGAAAGTACAGAATTTGTACTTGAAGCTAAATTAGTGCATTGTCAACATTTAAATATACCTTCTTCCTGGGCTTGGGTTTAGTGTCTCCTGGGATTCAGAAAGGGTTTAAAATTCCTTTCAGATTAATAAATAGAATATTTGGAATAGCAAAATACGTAAGTATGTAGGAGTTTGGAGTGTCTGGGGTGGTTCCTTAGTTGGCCAAAGATACTAATCTTTGAGGAAGTGTTGAAGAATCTGCTGCACATGGCTCTTCATGGCCGTGGGAAGGGGGTCAACGTGAAGCACACAAATGTAACTCATGAATGCATCAAAATTCAGCTACTTTGTTTTTCTTTTTAGCATTTTAATCTGAATATTGAAGAAGATGGTATTCAAGTGTAACATGCACCTGATTTAATACTCAAGCATTCACCCAGAGAGTGAATTACTGTTTCTTGATATGAATTCATGTAATTAGTGCATGTCATTATGTTAGGCCATGTGATTCTCCTCCCCACACAGTATGCTGATGGGGTCCGGGACTCAGGAAGTATTTGCTCCCAGGAATGTGACCCAACCCAGGTCTGGCCATTTGCTGCATCACAGATCAATTTAGTCAAGAGACAAGGTGTTGAGCCAAGGAAGGTAACTTCATTTGAAAAACAGCTGGAAGAGATGAGGGACTCTTGTCACAAGCCTGTCTTGCCAGGAAGCTGACTTGGGAGTGGCTTATAAAGGCAGTTGATGGGTGCTTCCAGACTGGCAGGTGTCTTTTCACAGGGAGTGGGCCAGGTCATGCACATGTGATCCCAAATACCTAGTCACAGGATGCTGTTTAGTTCTGCAGATCTCCAGAGCAAGGATCGTTAGGTCCTCAGGCCATTCTTGGTTAGTTTGCTGATGTTCAGCTTCTGACATGTTACAGGATGGACAGGCAAGAGGGGGTTGCTGCCCCCAGGACTTCTTGCCTATCGCCCAATTCATGGCAACAAAAGAAAGTAGACTTTGCTTGATTATTATGGAAAACTAGGGTCAGGCGAGGTTGAATAGGAACTCAGGCAGGAGAGCGGCTCTCAACACTCAGCTGTAAGAACAGGATCTGTGTTTCCTTTATAGCTCTGCTTGGCCTCAGCATCTATTGCTGTCTAGCTTGTCTGTAGGTTGCCCACTGCCAATTGCAATTTTCTGCCATTCTTAAGAAATGTAGGTATATGCATGAATTGGAGCAGGTCAAGTTTCATTCATTTTCATTTTTCTTGGAATAAAGCCAGTGTGATAATGAAAATATAGTTATTCCTATGATTGCATCTAGAAGTTGTACTTGTTCCTGAGAAGTTGGGACCAGTCTTAGACATGGACTGCCAAGCCCAGTACTTCCGTGGGCTATGCCTCATGTGTGTGGCATGGGAAGTGTTATTAAGTGTCCACGCTGTGCCTGCTACTCAATCAGGCACCTTTCCTCTAGTCATACACCACAATGTATGGATGGAAAACTAAGTGGACTGTATTTTACCATCAGACTCAGAAAGCCTGGGTCTTTGTTCTAAATCTAGATCTATTCCAGATTCTTTTGAAACCATGAATTTGTCGCTAATTGATTCAATCCAGACGGCCTCAAATCTTTGATAACTTTGTGTGTCCTACCTATATAGATGATTCACTGTGCAGGTATTCTGGCCAAGACTTATCAAACTATTTACAAGCAAACAAAATACATTTGGGATTAAAATTAGACCATTTGCCCACATCATGCACAAACACAAAAATGGGAAGTTATACTCCATGTATGTATAATATCTGAAAATACATTCCACTGCCATGTATAATTAAAAAGAACAAATTTTTAAAAAGTGAAAAAAAAAATTAAACCATTCACTACTTGACCCTGGTTTGGACACCTTCCTGGGAATCTAAAGGAAGATAGTAATGGCTTGTTCCCGTATTCTAATAACTTAATTCTGTTTCAGAAGGGAGTTTCAAATGGAAAACTATGCACATTAAGGTTCAACTCGTGATAGTGAATAGGTAAAAAAAAAAAAAATGAATTGTGTCCACTCGGGGATGTTCCACTTTCTATTTTGTGTGACTGTTTGTGTTGTTTCTTTTGTTTGAATTGCAGATCGCCCACTATGAGATCGGCGTTATCCTGTGCATTATCCTGGGAGTGTTATTTATCATTCTGCTACCTGTGGTGGGTTGTATCTTCGCCATATGTCGTTGCTGTAACAAATGTGGTGGGAAAATGCACCAGCGTCCGAAGGAGAATGCGCCCTTCCAGAGGAGGTGCCTTGCAATCTCCCTCCTGGTGATTTGCGTGCTCGTAAGGCAAGTAGCATCGTGGATGACAGCTGATTGGTTTTAGGGTGATGAGCCGTGTCCCCTGTTTTAACTGTTAAGCCCACGAGTTTAAAACAGAACCATGACAGCAATAACAAAACAGGAAAGGGAGAATGGAGGTGCTCATCCAAGACATTCAAAAAGGTGTCACTGTTCCTGGATCATTAAGCTCAGGGAGGAAGCTGCCCTAACCTGAGGAGCCTGCCCTGGGGCATTTTTCCCGTTTGTGGCTATGCTGGAGAATGCAGAGACCGTCCACTCCCTAGAAGCTTCCTCCTCTGAGACAGCTGTGCAGGGGTCAGCCAGCCTGCTGAAAGGCAAAGGCCACATTTGCTAGTTGATTTTGTAGTTAATTCCAAAAGCAATCTCGCTGGACAAGGGCAGTCCCTGCATTTGGAAATTCGAGAACAGCGTAGAATACACTTAACTTTCTACTAATTTCTAAACCCATTTTTCTTGAATTTGTTGTTCATCTGCGGCCCTCTTTTGAAGTCTGCAACACATTTCATTATTTAGGATGTTTCTGCTGCAGTTTTTGCTGCTACCAGAAGTTTTCCAATTGACAGGCAGATCAGAATTACATTGCTCCTAAGATGAGGATGTTTTGTTGAGTCCACGTCCATTCCTCCGCTGAGGAATGTGCACATGGCACTGGTCCCCTTGTGACTTTTGGTTATAGTGCCGCCTTTCCTCATTTATTCAACCAGTGTTTCACATGGCAACTGAGGTGAAGGTCCCACGACATGACAATCGGCATTCTTGTCTTTCTCCACACACCACATTTGCACAGCGTCCATAGGTAAGATATTTCAAGTTCCATTAAGTAGGTGATGATTGTGTGTTTAAGCCCAAAGCAGTAATTCCTACTAGTTGAAGTTCTAGCTGCAAACCCAAGAGCAAAAATCATTAAGTGTGGCCATCAGTAAGGGTCTGGTTAGATGTGTGTTCTGGGGGTGACCGTTCATCTATCTTGGAATCGAGGATACTCATTCAAAGAACTGGGTGGCTCCAAGAGAGATGCAGGGAAAACTGCAACCCTGTGTGCATGGTCACGTGGCAACTATGATGTGAACAGAAAGGAGGGAGACACAAACGCTTGGTTATGATTGCACAGAATGTATAGGAAAGGCTGGTGAGGGACCAGCCCCAGTGGTTACTTTTGGAAAGGAAATTGGGGGGCAATTAGGTGGGAGGAAGGAACCGTTGTTGCTGCAGCTGGGCTGCCTGACTCTTCTGAATTGTTGTACCAGGCTCGGGTACTACCTATTGAGCCAATTAAACTTGAGCAATGGAAAATTCCAGCAAAAACCAGTGCGTTACCACTTGTTCCAGGGCAATTATTATTTAAATAGCAAAGACATAATTTTGCTGAAAAAAGTGGAATGATAGACTTTTACCATACATGTGTTTAAAAGGATCCAAGTGAATGTGTTAGTTACTTCATGTGCTGTTGGCTAACCGGGAGTCTTTGTGTGTCTCTAGGAGCTTGCGCTCTGACAGGTATTTGGGCATTTATCTTCTGTGCCTGTCTCTTGTCTTTATCTCCCTTTTCTGTCTGTCTTTTTTGTCTTGGCCTCTCTGTCTGTCTGTGTCTTTTTCTGTCTCCCTCTTAAAGTAATTCAAATTGGTTTCTTCACACTGGATTCTGGAAGGCAGATTAGAATCTGGTTGATGGCATTTCCAGATGTCTCTTTCTCTCTCTGCTGTGCCTTTGAAGTATTCTTAGGAATGCACAGAACCATCCCCCTGCAGAAGTTAGTGACCTCCCTCGAGTGCTAGAAAAAAGTCACTTACAGCCCAAAGACTGTTAGATTCATCAGGGGCCCTGTGCATTTTCCAGAAGGGGAAGACCTACCTGGTCATTTGTCCAAAGATTGGGCAGCCATGTTTTTCCTTATCCACTTACTCACCCTAGACATTAAGATGAGGCTCAGGTCTCAGTGTCCTTTGAAAAGGCTGCCTTTAGAGTTTCTTGTTAGAGTCATTACTTATTTAACAGGTTAATAGTTTTCATGTCATAATTTCAGGAAAAATTTTTTATTGTATGTATTATACTTTATTTTATATTTACCTGAATAAGTGTTTACATATGTAAATCCATAATATAAATAATAATGGGCTTTCATTTTTTTTAATGAAGCATGTGGTATGTATTTAATTCTTTTTAAATTGGACTTCTATTTGCATTTCATATAATTCCTAGTTCATGCTGAACTGATTATTTACATTATATTTAAAATACCAAAATATATAAACAATCAAGCTACAAAGCTAAATATAAAGTTGGCTTTCATTTTACATAAAATGAATGTTACGACTATTTTTTTTTATTCTTAAGATTTAGACTAATCAAACAAATTTAGATAACTGTTTTCTTTTACGTTGGGAGAATCTTTTTTAAAACACATTCCATGCTTCTATTGCCTCCTATACATACAGTTAAAAAATTTTCTCCACCCAGGTGAAAACTAAATTTGAAAAATAATAATTTTAGATTTTAACATAATTAAACCAAAGTTGATCAACTGTTTGAGGTGGTAACAAATTTAAAACTAATTTGACTTCATATAGTACATTGAATTTATATATATATATATACACATATATATGTATAAACTATATGTAGATCTCAATGAGAATAGTATAAGTTTTTTTTTCCTTTGTATTTACTTTACATTGAGACAAGAAGTTTAAACTTTGCCTTGAACTTTTCAATTTACTGTTGCTATTTTGATGTCTTCCTTGAGAAACCCCTACTCGCTAGCAAGTATCTTAAACATCGTGAGTCACATGATAGCTAAATAATGTTTGCAAGTAATCAAAGCTAACCAAGAAGATTAAAGACTGGGGGAAGTGAAGATGTCTTTGTTTTGATTAGATGAAAGGGAGAAGAAGGCACATCACCAAAAATAAGAGGGGACAGACGTCAACTAAATTAGAAAGCAGAGAATGAAACGTGTTAGTGGATTTTTTCTTACTGTTGGGTCTCTGGCTTACACAGCACAAACTACCTGCTAATCTTTGGTACGATGTTTTAAAAACCTCTCACAAACCCAGAGCAGTCCAGTTGCCTTTCATTGGGCTCAGTTCCATTGAGTGATTCTAAATCTGACAGTTAATTGAAAGGAGTTTTCAAAGTAGCTTTGACTACTCTTAATTTTTTTCATTCATCCCTTTTTATTTCAAAATTTTTCATTTTATTTATTTATTTTTTTGAGAAAGCCATGGGTTTGAGAAAACCTTTGTTGGGGAACAAAGGTTCCCCAGTAAGTGTGGAGCACATCCTGGCCCATTGTTTGCTCGAGCCTTCCCCAGGCAGTTGGAGCATGAGAGTCTGTGGATCTTCTGTGGTCTGCCCCACCATTAGCTGGAGGGTGAATTTCCACCAGTCATGTGGACGGGTCAGCAAATGTGTCCAACTCCTGGGAGAGCCCAGTGTCTGCTCCTCCTTTCTTTTGAACTTTTCATCATTGCATTTTTTTCAAAATTTCAAGAAGACTATAAAAGAAAAAAGAAGGAACAGCCAGCCATACCTTGATTTCTTCCATGTATTTCAAAATTGCTGAGTCTGATAATTCAGCTTTGCCAGCGATGACCCTGGTGAATTGAATCCCAGTCATCCTCAGGAAGCTGGCTGTCAATTCCTGCCTTGGAGGTCACAAGATTCCAGAACAACAACAACAAACTGAACTATAGCATTCCTGAAAATCATGAGACTTTCATAATGAGAAGGCAAGGTCTGATTATTTAACAATTATGTTAAAAAAATAAGAGATCATTTACAGTCTAAACACATGTACTTGACTTTCATTGGCTGATTCCATTAAGTCAGTAGAAATAGTTAAGGAAAAAATTGCTACAAATTTTAATGCTTTAAGTATTTGTAAGTATTTTAAGTTGAGTATATATGTAAGTAAATTGTTTTTTTCATAACACAATATAGAAAATAAAGTGCTAATATGCCAAGAAAATAAAAATTCCTACCTTCTGGCTAAAATTTTTGAGATATTTTGTTGTACTTCACAAAAGCACATGCTTTTGATGACTTAAAGACGTTTATGTCAAGTGCCAGAGAACAGATATTCACTGACGTTTTATTCTTTTTTGGTGCTAGGCATATTGCTGTCATTATCCTCATCTCCTAATAACTGACCAGTGGTTGCTAAAAATACAAAGACATTATATATGTGACTTTTTTAAAAAATGTATTGAACAGTAGTGAGTATCCAAACCACCCCCAACAAAGAACATCACTTCTTTATTTTCTATTTTGTTTGCATATAAAGGTTTAAGTTAGAAACTGCAAATGAAGATCCTCAGTGGGTCTGCACAGTACTTAATGTTTTTTAGGATTAGTTGTTAATACTTAAAAATTGGAGATTTTACCTAAGAATCTACCTTTGCAGATGTTTGTGGACAATGGAAAGGTCTGGGCACACTGGTGTGCCATCATGATGGCTCTTGGTGACACCCTCCACTATGGTGGCACATGTGAGAACTACAGTGCAACTACCCCACCCCACCTTTGTTCTCCTGGCTCCATAGCCCCTGGACCCACGTGTCCCTCTTGCTTCAGTCTGCCCCTTGCAGGCTACTGGACTTGTCATCCTTAAAAATATAATCTTTACACCATGTGGGGATCTGAGAATCAACTTTGCAAGTTGCTGAATTCTGTTGCAGACTTCTGTTGATTACTGTTTTTTTTTTTTTTTTAAAAAAAGATTATCAGTGTGTTTATTTCAGTTGGATCCATTACTGGTTACCAAAAATGAGGGTCTTCATTAATATGTAGCATTGAAATGTAGAGTTGTATTGAAATATATAGCAGCTCATTTTTCTTACTGATGCTTTTGTGAGCAAAGACATGTATTCAGTAAAGGAATGATGTTTGTGCATTGGACTCTCCAAACGTGGTTAATCTTCTCATTGAAACCAAAGTCCAGTCCTTAAACACGCCTTTAGCAAGACTGCACTGTGCACAACTGAGAGAGAAGCAGTTTCCAGCTCCTTTTAGGGAAATTAAAGAGGTAGAAATGAAGACAGAGTAAGCAGTGAGAAATACCCGCCCCAGAATCGAAGGGAGAACCCCCCCGCCCCTTAGATTTTAAGGCAAGGAGGTTCTCTTCTTGTTGAGGAGGGGTGGCAGGGTCAGCAAGGGTCAAGTGGAAATGGACTTGCAAGTTCACTTTGACTCCCTGCATGACCAAACGGGTCTGGAATAGCCAGGGTAATCTGAACATGCTGGAGAAAGTAAGGGTCCCCACTGTGAATATCAGGTATATTCGGGGATGGTTCTGACTCATCTGGCATAAAATGTTTGAACTTGGCATGGTAAACGAAGCTTTCCAGTCTCATTGCTATAACTCAACATTTGGTTTTGTGTTTTTCCTCTGCACACAACTCTGAAATCCCATTTTGAGTCATTTGGCCTTATTTGGCACGAGGGCATCATTTCGTAACTATGATTGCCACAGTCTAGCTTCTGCCTCGTCAATACCAGTGCAGATGTAGGGTGGACAATAGTGGATTGTTCGGCAGTCATTCCAAATGGCACAGAGTTTTGTTGACATTCATGTTTTAAGGTCACATCAGAAAGATCCCCAACTTAAAAACCATCTTGGAGAACGTGGAGGCAGCCAGAAGCCCTCTCCCTTGCCACTTGAGCGTTTATCCAGTTTAAGCTAGACAGGGTCTAAACGCATCCTTTCAGCTGTGAAGTACTCACTGAGAAACATAGAAGAAAAGTGACTTTCTCATACTTGGTGGCAGTAGAGGGACCAGGACACACATCTTGTTCTGCTCATGCACTCCTTCTGCTGCAGCTTGTTACCTCTAAGAAACCTCACTCAGGGCGTGTCACTTAGAGATTGGAGCAGGTGCAATATTGCCATGGGGAGTGGGTTCTGAGGGAGACCAGCAGGGAGCCACTGATGCTCTAAGTCCTCATTTACCCAGGACTCAGAAGTTATCTGGGGACATGGACTTTTTTCAGTGCAAAAACTAGGACCCTTGGTTACCTTGCCTACAAATATATGTAAAGTCCACAAAATTGCATATTATGAAGAGGCAGTGCGTTGGTTTTCTGCATTCCCCCCTGCCCAAAGTTTTCCTAATACATGCAGAACTTTCTTTTAAAGATATATCCACACTTTCCGTTGTAACCATTTTAAAAATTTTATATTTGTTTTAATTACTTGCACATGATAGTAAAATGCATTTATGTACTTTGATATGTCATACATAGATGAGATAATTTCTCATTTTTCTGAGTGTACATGTTGCAGAATCATATTGGTCATGCAGTCATATATATACATACAGTAATAATGTCTGTTTCATTCTACTATCTTTCCTATCCCCACATCCCCTCCCCTCCCCTCCCATCACTTCCCTCTACCTAATCTAAAGTAACACTATTCTTCTCTAGTGTCTCCCACCTTATTGTGAATTAGCATCCGCATACTAGAGAAAACATTTGGCTTTTGGTTTTGTGGGATTGGCTTATTTCGCTTAGCACGATATTCTCCAACTCCCACCATTTAAATGCCAAATTTCACTCTTCTTTAAAGCTGAGTAATATTCCACTGAGTATATACATTTTCTTTATCCATTCATCTATTGAGGGATACCTAGTTTGGTTCCATAGTTTAGCTAATGTGAATTGAGTTGCTATAAATATTGATGTGGCTGTGTCACTATAGTATGCTGATTTTAAGTCCTTTGTATATAAACCGAGGAGTAGGATAGCTGGGTCAAATGGTGGTTCCATTCCCAATTTTCTGAGGAATCTCCATATTGCTTTCCAAAGTGGTTGCACCAATTTGCAGTCCCACCAGCAGTGTATGAGTGTACCTTTTCCCCCACATCCTCGTCAACTTTATTGTTTTCTGTATTCTTGATGACTGCCATTCTGACAGAGTGAGATGAAATCTTATGAGTAGTTTTGATTTGCATTTCTCTAATTGCTAGAGATGTTGAACACGTTTTCATATATTTGTTGATCATTGTATTTCTATTTCTGTGACGTGTCCAGCTCCTTAGCCCATTTATTGATTGGGTCATTTTTTTTTTGGTGTTAAATTTTTTGAGTTCTTTATATATACTAGAGATCAATGCTTTATTGGAGGTGCATGAGGTAAAGATTTTCTCCCAATCTGTAGGCTCTCTCCTCACGTTATTAATTGTTTCCTTTGCTGAGAAGAAGCTATTTAATTCAAATCCATCCCATTTATTGATTCTTGATTTTACTTCTTGTGCTTTAGGAATCTTGTTAAGGAAGTCAACTGGAAATCCAAATGTAGCAAAATGAAATTAAACCTCTCTCACCCTGCACAAAAATCAACTCAAAGTGGATCAAAGACTTAGACACTAGAACAGAGACCCTGAAACTAATAGAAGACAAAATAGGCCCAAATCTTCACCAGGTCAGCTTAGGATCTGACTTCCTTAACAAGACTCCTAAAGCGCAAGAAGTAACCGTTTTATTGAGGCTTCTCCAGGTGACACCTGTGCTGTGCTTAGCTAATGTGGTTCCACGCTGCCATCCAGTGGACAAGTTCAACAGGGCCTCAGCTATTCGTACTTTCAAATTTAACACTAACGCTGCAGGCAGAAGCCATTTGTCAAATTAGTTTAAATCAAAAGATTGTTAGTAACTCATCAACATGAAGGACGTTTACAATGATTAAATAAGGGCATTTTAGATGGCTTGAAAAAGTGCATTTTTGTGCAGTCTTTCCTGCCAGATGCCTTTTCATATAGTATTTTCCCATATTTTTTATTGGTGCCTTGTAATTATACAAAATAGAGGGATCGATCCATTGTTACATATTCATACAGGCACCCAATAGAACAGTCCCAGATAGCATTTTTGAAGCTTTTTATGAAGTGTATTTTATGTGGAGAAAAGTGTCATCTTCCTTCCCCGTGAATTCCCGAGATGGCAATACCACGGACAGAAGGCTGCCCTTAGCTGCTGGCCAGCGTGAAGTCGCTGACCTCCTAGCATCGTGCAGCTGCTTGTTTTTTCTCCTTGATGGAAATGAGATAGCACAGGAGGGCCTCTGTGTCGACTTCTGATGTAGCATTTCAATGCCAAAGTAGCGTTTCCCTCCAACTTGGACAAGACAGAGACTAAAAGAAAAATGAGAGAACCTTCACACGCTAGAAGGCCAAGTCACACTTGTCATCTTGATCCTTTCCCTAGAGGCTTCTTGGGGGCCTGAGGCGGCAGCGAGTCTGTGGGCAGGGAGGACGAACACACGTGTCCCCTGGAGAGGACTGGAACCGATCGTGCACACTGCCTTATAGATTTCCTGCTTCCTTCACAACTTGGGTGGACACTCTCTCCATTTCTAGGAGTCCTCTTGAATGGAGTACTTTATATTAAATGGAGATTGGTCTCTCTTTTTTTGGGGGGGGGGTTCTGAGTCATGTGTGGCCTCGTTTGGTGGTGGGTCTGCCATGGGGTCTCAGTGGGAAGCCTGGAGCAGCCGAAGGCAGGGGAAGAAACAGGCCCTGCTTCAGGGGACCAGGGGGTCACTACTCTTGCTTTTTCCCTTTTCCTGCAGCATTGGAATCATCTACGGCTTCGCAGCCAACCACCACGTGAGACACCGCATCAGAAAGTCTCAGAAGCTGATAGACAGCAACTTGAAAGACCTGCGAACCCTCGTGAATGAAGCGCCACAGGTACAGCCACAAGCTACACGTCGCGGGCGCTTTGTATTCTGGGCTTCTCGGAGTTCCTGGGTGTAACTGGGACCTCACTACACCTTTCAGGACCCCAGAGGGTCTGTGTAGATGGGAGTTGCCTTTTTAAAAATGGGTTTCTATTATTGCATTAGTATTCTACACAAGACTGGGGTTCATAGTGACATAGTGATGGGGCACGGGGCTGCTATTTCTTTTCACGTGGTAGATGAAGAAATCAAGGCGCAGCAAGTATTTTTCAAAAGAGTCCAAAAGCATAATTTCCGAAATGGTATTTTAATGTAATGAAATTATAGAATTGCTTACAATTTGAAAGTTCTCATGATTATTTTTAAGAAAGAAAGGTCTTGGATGTCCTCATCCTTTCTTCTTGGCAGTATGGTTGACTCCTGATAGTTTGCGTGGTTATTCTGATGACGAAAGCCTTTTGCTGTATAAACACCCATTTGTTAACATCCATGCAGGTGTGTCCCCTTCCTTGGGGAGGGTACACACACTGTCTTTCTCTCACATGCACACTCACACATACATGCATTGTTTCTGGAGAAGGGGAATGGAGTGGGGGCAAGGACCCTTTTTCCTGTGTCCCAAGAGCATGCTGATGTATTGTTATTTGGAACGTTGTTTGGAAAAGCGTCTGGGCAGGAGCCCTCCTGCATCTGTGGTGCTGTGGGTACCCACATCAGGAGGAGGAGCCTACCCACAGAGCCACTGGAAGAGCCCACCAGGCCCCCGGGGGCCCCCTCACAGTTTATTCTATCTTAAAATATAAGTATGTGCTAGTTTCTTAAAAAGTGGCTGGAAATGAAAGAGAAACAAATGCAGGCATTTGAAAATATTGAGAAATTGACTTTATCTTTAGTTTTATAGCCTGTATACAGATGCCAGTGTTTTATTTGTCCGACCCTGTGAGTAAAATTCACAGCATTCTTTTACCTGACATTGTAAAGAGTCCAAGGAAAAAACCTTTTTCTTAAACAGCTGGCAAAGTCAGACAGCAGTGCAGGCTACTAAAGTTTGGGATGGCTCTCATCATCTTAAATGGACAGTAAATTGTTGGGACTTTCATGGAAACTTATCTGATTTGGAATAATGATGAGCTGTATGAAGTCTTAAAAAAAAAAATTTGGGCAGAGAATGTGAACGTGCAGTGGATAAAAGAAACACAACTGGCCCCGCACAGAATAAGACGTTTGATTTTCCTCTAGTAATTGGAGGAATGAAAACTGAGACGATGACGCACATTTTCATTGAGCTGATTGGCAATCATTGTTGAAAACTGGTAAAACACCCCCAAACCCACCGTGGTGCCGAGGAAGTGGGGACTGGGTCTCCTGAGCCACTGTAGACAGGCAGCGAGCAGCCCCTTTGAAGGCCAGTTGGTAATTGTCACTAAATAAAATGGGTCTAATGTGGCAGAACACAAAGGGCACACGTTCTTGACAGTTCCTCAGGTCAACCAGTGGATTTGTCTCCCAACCCCTGGAGTCTGGGCTGTCCCTGTGGTGTGCTTATGACCCGGGGAACACAGCGGACATGACCTTAGGCCAGTTTTGAGTTTCAGCTTCCAGAGGCCACTCAGTATCTACTCTTTCCCTCTCGTTGCTGGTGACCCTTGGATCACCAAGCTGGTCACTCAGAAGATAGAGGCCATGTGGAAAGAGTGAGGGGCCCACCCGTCCCCAGCCATGCTAGAACTGACCGCAAGATCCAACAGCCAGTCCACAGATCATGGGACATAATAAACCAGCACAAATAGTAACATTCACAATGAACAAGTAAACTCAGTAAATAAATCAGTTTTAGGCTAATAAGCTGGGGAGTGTTTTTAAGAAGTTTGTCAGAAAATAAAAATATCTCCAGAACTTGTTGACAATCTCTTTCTAAAGCTTCTCTGATTCGGGTTAATTTTTGAATGATATGTGTCTTTTTATTGTGACTTTGGGCTTTAGAAGGTCAGGTTTCACGTAATTTTTCTTTCCCTAGCAAATTGACTATATCGTGGACCAGTTCAACACCACCAAAGAGAAGGCCTTCTTAGATCTGGACAGTGAGTACACTCAGCATGTGTTGGTGATTATTTGCTTGTTTGGGCTCAAGAGAGGCTGTGGCTGCCACCCACAGAACATGGACTAAGAAACCAAATAGGGGGAGGTAGGAGAAAGTAGGAAAAGAATCCCCTTGTGTCACCGACAGTTTGCAATCTGTGGAAAGCCTCTGTCTTGCAGGCAGCGGGGCCTTTGGCTCTCTTATTTGGCATCCGTTGCAGGGCACTTGCATCTTGTGGTCACTGGCACTTGTTCTTTATCCCCCATGAGGGAGAGGATGTGCATCCCTGCCAGGTGCCCTGTTAAAGTGGCCCTCAGAAGTAGATGGGGACTGTCCTGGGGCTCACAGTGTGGCTTAGCGGTTCTCAACGAAGGAGTGATGGGGGTGCCCTCTGGAGACATCTGTGGTTGGCACAGAGAGGCCGGGGGAGGCATTGGAGGTCCTGGCACTGTTGGTAGAGGAAGCTGCAACAGCCTACCGTGCACAGAACAGGCCCCACCCGAGTTACCCAGCCCACAATGTCAACAGGGCCACGGTGATGTGAGAATCCGGCCTGGCTGAAGAGATGGGACAGAGGTGGTTACATACAGCTCAAGGTGCTCAACTCTCTTTCCTTACCTTAGAATGTACAAATAGCAATGAACTTCAAAGATAAAACTGAGAACATTTAATTAAAAAGGAAAGAAGTTAAGAAGAAGAAGGAGGAAGAGGAGGAGGAGGAGGAGGAGGAGGAGGAGGAGCAGCTAAATTCTGTGTTCCTAGCACAGATTGTCAGTCTGTGGTCTCTAAGTTTTCACCTGGGGACGTCGATATGGGAACTTCAAACGATGTGATGAAATCTGCACACCAGGGTCAATACCTGAACAGGGTCTAGAATGGAAAATGGGACTTTTCAGCAGTAGAGGTGGAGCCTGTTCTTCAGGGCAGCTGCCCTCACTGTCCCTTCTGCTTCTTCAATCCCAGATATTCATTCGTTGCTGGGAGGTGGAATTCTCGAGAGACTAAAGCCTAAGGTGATCCCTGTTCTTGATGAGATCCAGGTCATGGCGAAAGGTAAGCACAGTGGCAAAGGTGACTGAAAATACACCAGTGGGAGTCCCTGGGTCTCACGGGGTCAATAATTCTTTCCTGAGTTTCCCTGAGAATTGGCCAGAGTGAGAGCTGCGATCTGTGGCCACACAAACAGGCCTGGCAGAAACACACCGTATAACAGTAGTCAGTATTTTATTTTATTATTTTAAAGCTGGTACCAAAGATATCGTACTGAAGAAAAGTCATTTGAAATAATACTGGCAGAATTTGATAGGGGACCACCACTTGGTTTTGTAAATAAAGTTTTATTGCAACACAGTCATGCGCATTTTGTGGCTGCTTCTGGTCTGTGATGGCAGAATTGAGTGGTTGTAACAGAGACCTTAAGGGCCACAAAGGCTAGAATATTTACCATCTGGACTTTTATTGAAAAAGTTCATCAACCTCTATTATAGAGGATGAGTAGCCTATAGAATTTTGGGTCTTTTGCATTCTATTGATTACTCTCCCTACCTTGAAAGGACAGCTTTTGAAAACAAGGGGTCAGTGGTGGGTTTTAAGATATATAAGTATATTCCTTGTTTTCAAATAAGTGAACAGATTTTAATAAACATGTTCAACTACCATGAAAAAAAATCCTCAGGTCCTTCTGAATATTGAAAAAAAAAATGTCTGCTGGGTGTTTGATGGGGAAGATGATTTCATCTGTCAAATGTTTGGCCAATTCCCGAGAAAACAGGCCATCAGGAAGGGATCATATGGAAGACAATTATGCCTGTTCCCTTTGGCATTCCTGATAGTCCAGCAACTCGGCAGACTCTCTGGGACTAGGAAGGATGGCAGAATAGGCCGAGAGTCCTCTGCGGTGGGTGTCTCAGCCGCCTCCAGATGTCACCAACCTCTCCATCACCAACCATTCCCTTTCCTGGCCAGGAAATAGAGGCCCGAGAAGGAGTGTGACCTCAAAGATCTATGCCTTCCCACCCCACTTCCCCTCCTTTCCTTCCTTCTTCTTTCCTTCCTTCCTCCCTCCCTGGCCCTTTCCTATCATTCCAGCCTCACTTCCCGTCTTAGACACCCATCTTTAAGTGTCCCTTTCTCTTAGAATGACACAGTCCTACCCTATCAGGGCCCCACCCTTCTGACCTTATTTCATCTTAACTCTCTCCCTGGAGACCCTGTATCCAAACACAGGAGGGTCAGGACTTTGACATATCAATTGAGGGACACTTCAGTATAGCAGTTGGGTAGCTTGGAAGGGGTGGAGTTGGGATTCACACCCCATCTGACCAAAGCCTCTGGTACCCTGACGACCCTAGATAGGATTCACAATACTGGGGAGTGCTCAGATATAGGGTGCTGCTATGCCACCTTTGGGAAGGCCACATGGGGAACCTCTGGAAGAGGAGTTGGGAGTATGGAGCTCAAGCTGGCATGGCCGTGGGACGATGCTATTTATCTCTGCACCCCAGGTCTCTGTTGTCAGTGCATTGGGTGTCAGTGTCTTAGGTCTTCCAAGATCTCCTCCAGCCAAAATTCCACAGTGGCTATGGCTGCATGGAAGTATATTGCCGCAGTCTGGCTGGGCATGATTCAGGAGCCACTTGTCATAAGAAATGAACTTTATTTTTAGAACCACACACGCCAAACAAAACAGCTCCTCAGGAAAACCTTCAGAACCCAACTGCCACCACCGGCTTCCCACAAGCCTCTCCCCCCACCCCAAGCCTCTCCACCTCCCACAATCCTCCTGCTCTTGAGGCCGATTGGCTGGGTCGCGTGGGCAGAGCCAAAAAAGTCCCCCAATGAGCAGCTCCGTGGTCTGAAAGGGCAGGGACATCACCAAAGAGGAGCCAATCAGCTAGAAGTTGCTGGGGCCGCTGTGAGCCAATCATCAGCTGGCAGTCTGAAAGTTTGCTGGGGCCCCTTCGGCTGTGGCTCTCAACAGTATATGGACATGCAGCCTGCTTGATGTGTCCCTTGACTTTTTGCTCAAAGTTCCAATGATTCTTTTAATATATTGTTTAGTTGTAAGTGGACACAATACCTTTATTTTATTTATATGTGGTGCTGAGGATAGAACCCAGTGTCTCACATGGGCTAGGCCAGCACTCTGCCACTGAGCTGCAACCCCATCCCAGCTCCAATGATTTTTAGCATTTCGAATCACAGTGCTTTCTAGATGAAAGGTGATTAAAACAGATTTTATTTTTCCCTTCAGTGTTTCCTGTATTATTAAAATTCTGCTGTTTTTCAAGCCAACCTAAATAAGTCAATGTTTATTTAGCCTTTGTTGTGCCAGAGCTTCTTAAAACTTGCTTACTAAACTGCTCTAGCTAAGTTTTTGCTAAAAATGCTTTGTAGCCTTATGTATTTTGTGGACTTTGAAGAGGAAAGAATCATGCAGTTGTTTTGAGTACATCATGTTTAGGCTGCAGGTCAAGAGGAAATGAGCTCTGGACTGGTGAAATGTTTATTAACTAAAATTAAGAAACTGAAATATCTTCCCCAGTTACTTCAGATACATAATGTATGGGATCTCAGTAGGCCTGGAATGACTCCCAGAGTTATAGCCCTGGAAATGTTTTATGGACATAAAAATGCTTTGAAGCTTTTGGAAAATATAAATTTATTACCTCTGAATCCTTTCTGGGACATAACAGAATATTACCCACATCCCAGAATGTCTATGGACAATGACCACACACACACATTTCCTGGCCATCAGTTTGTTTTATCATCTGTCCGTCTTTGTTGTTGTTATTTATTTCTTGCACTAATTTATCTTAAAGTCAAAATGGAAAGGGCCTTGAGAGGTAAACCTCAGAACCTGAAGCTTGAGGCATGCAGCATGAAGTGTCTCAGCACGCTTTTGTGCATTCAGGTGTATGTCTCCAGTGTGGGTTCTTTGTTTCTCATTTGCTGTGCTACATATTCACTGAGCCTCTACCATGAGCTGGGTACCAGGCTTCATGCTTTGTTGATAATGCTACCAGGTAGGTGGGAGGAATGAAAAACTGATACCCGGAGTGCTCTTTTATGGTCTCATCACTATAGCCTTCAATCCTGTTAAAATATGATCGTCCTGGAATCAAGAGCAAAGATGGAAGCAGACTTTAGAATTATTTTTTCAATCAGGTGAAGTGATAAAATTTGAGACCAGTGATCATGCTGCCTAATTCTGGAAGCCTCTACAGGTCTCTGGATAAATCCTCAAAGCTCCTCCAAATGAGACCAAGTTAACATGGGTTTTCACTAACCTATCCAAGGGCTCAGCCTCACAAACCTGTCAGGACACAGTCTAGAATCACAAGAGACAGCCCAACCAGCTCCCTCATTTACAGATGAGGAAACTAAGGTACCAAGAGATGAAAGAACTTGCCAAAGATGCCATTCAAGATAGAAGTAGAACCAAAAGGAGAACTTGTGCTACTTTTTGGAGAGATTCCACGGTACCATTGCGTGTGAGTGTGTGTGTGTGTGTGTGTGTGTGTGTGTGTGTATGTCTTTAACACTTGAGTTTTATGTGGTTGCAGGAAGGTACTGCAAGCAGTTTTTAAGGGCTTTCACATTTTCCCTTGCAACACTGCACTGCAGCCTGATGCTCTGCCGTCTGTTTTGCAAGCCACAGAGCAAAGGCCTGACCACAAAGACTTACCTGTTTAGAAGAAGAGTGACCTCCAGTTTAAATGTCATGACTTTTACCGCTGAGGCTTTGAGCCACTGTAAAAAACAGTTGTAATTCACATCCATAGTCTCTGGTAGGGGATTCTACCCTCCAGAGAAATCAGGAAAGCCATCATCATTTGGGACTTCCTGGTATAAGTCTGTGTCCTAGGCTGTGGGACTCCCAAAGCAATGCAGAGAGACTCACTGCTGTTGAGGAGTTTGGGTCTGATTAGGCTTCCCCACAGGTTCCCATGCTCCACATGGTGATAGTTTCAATATTTTAATAAGAATAAATTGATTTTAAGGGGTTCCAGAATCTACTTCGGGTCACACAGGTAGTAACAAAGCTCGGATCTATACCTAAATCTACCTGAATCTAAAACTCTCCTCTCAACTATCTGTAGGTTATTCCAGCTGTTTGAATATTTATAACTAAAATATAAGTGTAATCTGTTTTTATATGGATTCAGACCACTTGGGATGGATTTGTTTGGACGGACCTCTTCAAGGTTGGGCAGTAATGCTGTTGTTGGCCAAGTAATGGGGCACTGAGGTGTCCCCATCACAGTCCTGTGTTGGTACTTGGCCCCAGCTTCTTGGGGAAAGAGACCCCATACCATAGAGCTGAGCTGGTCAGAGGAGCTGGCAGAGCAGCCCAGCAGTGCCCTGTGCTTCCTCTCAGACTGCCCCTTGCAGTGGTCTAAGGCCATTTACAAGTTCATCACAAGTTCCTTTAGGTCAGTCTTATAGATGGAAGGGCCTGGTGTCTCTGCTCTGAAATGGGCCGTGTTCCCGCAGCAATTAAAGAAACCAAGGTGGCCCTGGAGAACATGAACCAGAATTTTAAGAGCCTGAGGGATGGAAGCCAACAGCTCAGCAACAGCCTCTCTGCTGTGAAACAAAACATGCAGAATTCTCTGCAAGGCCCTGAGTGCCTTCTTCCACAAGTGAGTGACATCTGCAAGAACATTGAGTCGTCTCTGAGCCAGCTGGAGGGCAACCCCGAATTGAGCAAGGTGAGCTGCTGGAGCCTGCCACATCCGGGCCCCGAGCTCCGGTGGGTGGGCATGGCTAAGCACTGGTATACCTGTCAGAGACACAGTGGCATCTCATCACCACAGGGGAATGGCTGCAGCAGGAGCAGAGGAATGCAATGGAGCCCCCTTCTGGGGAGTTCTTTACCATTTGGTGAAACACATTCAACTTGAAAAAAATAATAAGGGGAGCAGAACACTTTCCTATAGAAATTTAAAATATATATTTAAAACCATATACCTAATGTATTAACCCCCAAATAGAAGGCAATTCATCCATTTTCCCAAAGAGTAGATTCCCCCCAAAAGAACTTCAGGCAACTTGAATATATAAAGTTCTGGAATGTAGAAAAAAATGGGCATGTGTTTTCCTGGCATTTAACGTATTAGTTTTATATTACAATAAGCACTACCACCATCTCCACGGTTCCTATTCAAATGTTGTCTGTTTTTCTGAAAATTCCCTTCACAGCTATATTTTCACTTTGCAGCCAAGGGTCCTGGCCGGGGCCACATGTTGCTCTCAGTGTCATGCCTCTTTCTTCTGGAACAGTTTCTCAGGCTCTCTCTTTTGTGACACTGACATTTTTTTTTCTTTTTAAATATTTTTCTAGTTGTAAGTGGACACAAAACCTTTATTTTATTTATCTTTATGTGGTGCTAAGGATCAAACACAGGGCCTCACACATGTGAGACGAGCGCTCTTCCACCGAGCCCCAGCCCCAGCCCTCACTGACATTTTTGAGCAGGCCACCTACGTGGTGGAGTGGCCATCTGTTCAGGTTTGTCTGGTGATCTCTTGTATTGGATTTAAGTTACCTGTATTTGCCAAGGACTCATTGTAGAGTGATGCTGGGTCCTCCTTGGCACATAATATCAAGAGACATGTGACACTTGGCCAAGTGTTGGTAAGAACCAGAGATTTCCGAGGCACCTGCAGTGCTGGACATGAAAAACTTGTTCCAGGCTTCTCAATAATGTCCCCGCTCACTGTATTACTTTTATATTATTTATTTGATATTTTGGTTCCAGGGATCAAACCCAGGGCCTTGCATGTTAATTGGGCACTTTACTACTGAGCTGCACCCCAGCCCCTGTATTACTTTTTGTTTGTTTTTGGTGGTGCTGGAGATTGAACCCAGGGCCTTGTGCATGCAAGGCAATCACTCTACCAACTGAGCTATATCCCCAGCCCCCTGTATTACTTTTAAAAGTGATTTTTACAATATTGTTCACTGCTTTATTCACTAGAAGGTCACATATATTCTGTCTTGCATTGCTTTGCCTCAGTTTTAGTTGACTGCATCAGGAGCCCTCCAAACATCTTAAAAAAAAAAGTGCTTATCCAGGCTGTGCAGAGTAAAATGAATTTTCCCAAACTTTCCAAAGAAAGCGAGGTTGGATGGGTGATGCTTGCCTGTAATCCTAGCTACTTCGGGGAGGGGGTGGTGCTGAGGCAGAGGATTGGAAGTTCAAGGCCAGCCTCAGCAACTTTAGTGAGACCCTGTATCAAAATAAAACATTAAAAGGGCTGGGGATTAGCTCAGTGGTAGAACACCACTGGATTCAGTCCCCACGTGGATTGGGGTTATTGAGGGGTGGGGTGGGGAGAATAGTGGAGCGGTTCCCTATAATATCAGTGCTTTGGAGCTTGGATACAAGTTAATTCCAATTTTTGTGGGTTAATTTGGGAGTAACCACCTTGCCTTATATTTTGTTGTATGAATTTTCAGCTCCCATCTATGGACACAGAACTTCAAAATATTAATAATGTTCTCAGAAATGATTTGGATGCCATGGTCCAAAAGGTATGTTTTTTTTTTTTTTTTTGGAAAAGATAGATCAATTTTTTTTTGGATCACTTTAAAGAATAAACTGAAATGTAAGATGTTAGGAAACAGAAAAAAATTGACATTCTGGAGAGTGACTGACAAGAAGAGGGAGACCTATTTTGTTTTATTCCAATTCAAGAAGTTTTAGTTGAGCGTCTGTTATATGCGAAGAACCCTTCCAAGGCCACTGGAGATCAACCTGGCCCTGCTTTCCTGGGCTCAGTATCCAATGGGTGCAGGGCCCATATTAATCCTGATATGAAGGATGCCCTCTGCCCAGGAGTTGGCCACACTGGTTCTCTGTTCCTCCCCGTCTCACACCTGCTTGCCCTCTACCCGGCTCTCTCTCCTTCTTCCCCGTCCTTTGTCTGGCTACTTGGTTTCCGAAGCTTTTTATACCACCTGTTCAGTTGTTTGTTTATTTTGGTACTGGGGATGGAACCCAGGGCCTCGTGCATGCTGAATTCATAGTCTGCCTCTGAACTACATCCCTGTATGTCACCCTCTTAGCAAGAATTTTCTTGGCATCTTGACTAGGTCAACACCTTAAAAATACATTTTTATAGCATGGCAAATATTCTTTAAAGTCCTCCTAGCTATAATTACCCATAACTACCTTTAATGACTCTGTTCCCCCACCGGCCTGTAAACCCCATAAAGGCAAAGGCAGCGTTGGCCTGGGATACCATGATTTGTGTGGTGGCTCAACAATCGTGATTTATTCAACCAGTGGTTACTGAAAATGCAATAAAGATTCTTCATGGATTGGGATTCAGGAGAGTGCCCTGGACCTATAGGAAAGGGGAGAGAAGCTTGTTCACGATGCTGTGTCTTTAAGCATGGCTATAGAGAAACCTCAAGAAGCGATTAATACAGTCTATACTTATCACCAAGGCGAGTGTCCCCTTAAGTCATTTGACATCATTGATCTTTGCATCCTGGAGTCACTTGGCTTGTTATACAGTGGGAATTGAGCCAGGATACCATGATGGTGACATCTGCAAGTCCACCTGTGGATGTGTGTGAAGAGAGCAGACACACACAAGCCAGGAGCTTAGCTGCCTTTGAGGGAACAGAGGTTGTGGCCCTTCTTCTTTTGGCATCCAACATAGCTAGACTGAATGGGGAATTGACTAGCCCCTAAATCTTATGAACCTTAGAAGCATGGCAGTGACCGCTGGCAGATGGCTGACGGCAGGCACCAGCAAGCAGTTAAACACAAACTGAACCCCTCCAGGGAAGGCCCGATGTTGAGAAGTTCTTTAGAAATACCGTGGCCCTCTCCTGAGTTAGCCCAGAGCCACACAGCTTGGCGTGGCTGTTCTTGTTTTAGCCTCACTGCCATTTGTATTTCTTTAGGCTGTGTTTGGGGACCTCTTCCCCCTCCTCCTATAAGATTAGGTCTCTTATTGGATCATTGCACTGTAAAGTACAGTTGTTTTCAAAACTTCATGTTATGTCTGTACTAGTGACTGTTCAGCTCAGTTTCTTAACCTCAGCACTGTCCTTGGGCTGGTGGGGACAGTCCTGTGCATCATAGGGTGTTTATTAGCATTGCTGGCCTGTGCTTGCACAGCACCCATAGCACCCTAAGAAAACATCTCCACTGGTGTGTGTGTGTGTGTGTGTGTGTGTGTGTATTGTATATATCCGTAATAATTCCTAGAATTGTTGTGAGCAAATAGGGAGATTTTAAAATTAGGGGATACCATATATATATAAAAAAATTAACTTGATCTTTGATTTATTCAATTTGAAGAAAACACACTCTAAAGGGAATTTTTTTTTAGAGTCCTGATGACCATAATATGCTCATTTTAGCTTTAAGATGAATGTTACATTTTTGTTTTAATTCTGTACTCCATAATAAGCAGAAAAATGAATACCGGTCAACTGGTTTTCAGCTCACCTTGTATATCAATTAACTTTAAAATATTTTTTAGGGCTACCAATCCTTTAATGACATTCCTAAGAGGGTGCAAGTCCAAACCACGAACATCGTAGCAGGTGAGGTCATCTTCTGAGGTCATTCGGTACCTTTCTTTGTTAAGAACTGTATGGTTGGTCAGCTCAAAGAACTATGTGGTTGTGAATTGTATTGTTCTTTTCTAATTAAAAAAAAAAAAAAAAAAGGTCTCTCGCTAAAACCCTGACAACTAGGTGAAGATCAAAGCTCTTGGATTGTGTCATCTTCCGTCAGTGACGCAGATTTGAACAACAACAACAAAATGTTTCCAAGCAACACAGTTCTGGTCACTAGCCACCAGGTGCTGGGGCTGACAGCTGCACTGGGCTGGTGAGTCCCCATCAGGGCTCTCACAGGCCTTAGGGCAGCTGTGTTTTGGAAGGTCACATTCTGACTATTTTCCCAGAGGAAGGGGACCCTGTACATTATTCTATTTTCTAAATGGATTTAAAAATGAACTTCTAAAATTAATTAGATTATGTTTAGGAAGACTGTCAGGACTTATTTTGTCTTTTGGGGAGGTTTTTTTTTTTGTTGTTGTTGTTGTTGTTCATGATGCTGATATAATGGTATGTTAGGCTCCTAAGGTTGTTTACAGACTTGGAGAGACAGAACCTGTGCGAGAGATTCTCAGGTGTTAAATGACTGAATCCTGCCTGTTCAGGACATGGTATTTTGGGGATGGTGGTGGTGACAGAATGCAATATAAGCATTTTTTTTTTTTTGTGCTGGGATGGGAATAAACTTAAGGTTATTTGCTTAGAGAAGAACTTTCTGCATCTATGCAAGACCATTTTCTCTCTCTCTCCTTTTAACCATTCTTTGTATCTGTTACCAAATGGTTTAAAATATTTTGTTAGTATAATTTCACTTTGTTTTTCCTTGCAGTGTTCTTTCAGCTCATTAAGAGTTTGGGTAAAGAGCATTTTTCCTTTTTTTTTAACTTGTCGATGGACACAATACCTTTATTTATTTATTTTCATGTGTTTCTGAGGATCGAACCCAGTGCCTTACACATGTGAGGCAAGAGCTCTACCACCGAGCCACAGACCCAGCCCTGGATAAAGAGCATTTTATCTCATTACAGCTTTAGATGTCTTGTGGGCTTCTTTTGGGGTGATGGAGCCATGAAGAGGTTGCAGACAGAGCTCAGGCGCTGCTGGGACTCCGTTTGGGACTGATGGCATGCTGTTTGTCTGCAGCCCCCTGCTTATTAACCTGTGTTTAATTCTTGTTTCTCCTCTCTGGGCCTCTTGTGCCCGTGTGTTCAGTCTTCCCCTGTGAGTCTGAGAGAGGCTGGAGCACCCAGTGTCATTGCCTGGACACACACCAGCATTTCCCAGGGCCCAGGCAAGGGCCGCGGTGTCCTCCTGGAGATCTAGTGTTTATTTTTGTGTCCTTAGTTCCACGTTCTGCCCCTATGGGCCTGGCCTGAAGTGCCCACTGCGTGCAAGGCTGTGACAGGTGCTGGGGCTGTGAGAAGTCTAAGGCATGGCCCTGCCTGTCCTTTAGCCAGCCATGCGTACAGATGCCATTGATCAGACTTGGGTGACCTGGCCACAGATGAGCAAGGGAGCCAGGTGGGTAAGGGGTAATGGCCAACTTCCTGGGAAAAGCAGCGTCCAGACTGAGTCTGGAAGGAGGTCTTTGCTGAGAGAGGGCACACACGGAGTCACCACAGCTGACAAGGCTGGGGACTGTGAGAACAAGACAGGCCAAGAAGCAGACAGGGCCCCCAGGAACTGTGCGTATGAGATGGGGTCCATGTGTCATGTTTCTGGAAACCCCAGTGTTAGGAAAAACGCCTACAGATTCATCCGATCCAGAGCCTCCCGTATTTTGGCACACGAGCCATTTGGAGGAAGCTGTGAGCCACCATGAAACAACTCTCCTCCTTGTGAGCCACCTCCAAGCACCTGGTCTGCAGTTGCTCTTGTCTGTACCTTTGGTTTCTGGATTTCACGCAGATGTGACAAACACACTTTGGCAAAGTTTTCCACCACGTTTTATGCAATTGTGTTTTAGACTAACCCGCCACCTTCGCCACTCAGCTACTGCTCGCCAAGAACCCTGGTGTCACCTTTGGGAACTGCTCATCCTGTGTCCACTGCCACGGAGAGACTTCCCTGTCTTTCAGGATCAGTGGGCTCTTAATTGATTAGTGCGTCTTATTCTTAGTACATCCGTGTCAAGAATTGCTGGGGGGCGGGGGGCTTAGCTCAGTGGTAGAGCAGGCACAAGCCATGGGGTCAATTCTCAGCCTTGAAAAAAAAAATTAAAAAGCAACCAAGAATCACTGTGGTCAGGGCCATCCTCAGCACTGCCAGCTCAGGGGACTCACTGTGGCCCAGGCGGTCCTGATGGGCAGATCTTTCCAGAGCCCCATGGTTCTGAGAAATGAGACCAATGATAATGTAAACTGACCACTGGGAAGTACCTTGCTTTCTGCATGTAGGGGCACAGATGTCCTTCTTTAACACATCCCAAACTATAGGAGTCAAGTAAAATTGTAACAAATATATCACTTAGGGTCACTTGTTCAAAAAAGGATCCTAGAGAATTACTGTGTTTCTGGATGCCATTTCTTAGGCTGAGAAGTTAGTGTTTTTCCCTCAAAAAAAAAAAATCATATAATAGGGCTTCAGTCTTAGATACATCATGCTTTTAACCTCATTACCAGCATATTCTGAAAAAGAGACATATGGCTCACCTTAACCTCGGTGAGCCTCAGGGCAGTTTTATTAAAATGGGGATTTAGAATACCTGCCTCAGTGGAATAACCAAATTGATATTTACAAAAGTGTCTGACACATGGTAGCCATAACATGTATATGAATTACCTGATTTTTTTTTGTGTGTGTGTGTGGTAACAGGGAATGAACTCAGGGACACTGAGCCACATCCCCAGCCCTTTTTGTATTTTATTTAGAGACAAAACGTTGCTAAGTTGCTAAAGCTGGCTTTGAACTCGTGATCCTCCTGTCTCAACTTCCTGAGCTGCTAGGATTACAGGCCAGCACCACTGCACTGGGCTCTGATTTTTGTTGTTGTTGTTGTTGGTTTGTTTATTTTTAGCAAGGTAGTGGAAGAAAAAAAAAAACCCTGTGGCTTGACTTCATTAATGGCTCATGGATGTCCCCACCTACGGCCACTGTTTTGTGAAGTTGTTGCCTTCCAATGGCTGTTTGCTCTTGCAGAATCCTATCTTATTACAAACCAGTTCATAACATGGGAAAAACTGAAAGTGGCTTGAGCTTTTCTCTTTGGTTCCCAAACAACATTTCTGTGTTTCCCATGTTGGAAAATGCATAACCAAGGTCACTTTGATTTCAGAAATCAAAAAGCTCTTAAATACCGTGGGTTCCAACGTCAAGGATGCAACCAAAGATATTCCTATTCAGAAGTCCTTGTCAGAGTTCAATAGTCACATGGATGAGATTGAAAAAGAAATCAAACAGAATTTGCATCGGGCAGAAGAAGTTGACTCCTACTGGTGAGTGCCTGCTTGGACTGGTGAACCAGGAGCATGCAACTTGGTATGCAGTGCCGAAAAAAATCTCCTGTTAGCACCAGGAAAACCTTAGGAAAGCAAGTCCTACCGAGAAGCCAGGACCTGATATGGGTGAACCCTAGTTTATGTTCAGTCAGAAGGTTGAAGTGCTCACTTAGCACATAGACCAAAACTGAAACAATACAGAGAAGATTAGCATGGCCCCTGACTAAGGGTGACTGCAAATTCATGATGCACTGCATATTTTTTTTCTTTAAGTTTCAGACTGGAAGTTCTTGAGTCAAATATTTAATGATTTTCAGTTTTGATATCATGAGTGGCTTCTAGAATCTTTGTTATAATTAGTAAGCCAGGCATGTGGTAGGAGTTTAAAACAATAAGTAATTGAGGACATTTGGAAGGTCTTCTTTTCTGATGAGGTAAATGTATAGAGGTTGGTTCTGCCAGAAGAGTGTGGTCTTAAGAGACTGTGCTTGAAACCAGTAACTAAACTCTCCAAGCCCAGGTGAGCAGTGGCTGCACCTGTGTTTGTTTACAAGGTGCAGCTGGTGCGATGTGGTCCTGGGGAGGACGGGTAGCCATGCGGGAGAGGGGAAGGGCTCAGGGGCTTGTGGAATTTAGCAGATCCTCTGAGATGTAAAATGCATTTTCTCCTCAGCCTCGTGTCCCTTGGTAGTCCACAGTGCCAAAGCCCACAGAGAGTCCAGAGCCTGCTTCTTACTCTGCAGGTCATTTTTTTGTGCAAGAGAACAAGATAAATAGCAAAATGATAACAAAGATGGTGCTCGAGTTTCAGGGAAGAGTTTCAGTGTGCCCGCCCTGTGCTTTACACAGGACATCTCATTTAGCACTCAGAGTCCCCTGCTTGTGCTCCATTGATTACCCTGCTTTGGGGACAAGGAAGTTGGGGCTCAGGGAAGTGAAGTGACTCGGCTAAGGCCAGCTGGAATACGGAGGGCAGAGGTGGCCTTTCAGACCCTGTGTAGCTGTGCTATTGGTCGTGACCCCAGGATGAATGACTTCCTGGGACACTGGCTGTGTCTTCATTGTGGGCCATTCCACAGCTATCAGGACACAAGACAGAGCCTTTCTCAATGATCTTGAAAACTCATTAGCCATCACAGTTTCACAGGTGACAGAGAGGACTGCAGTTTCCTGTCTATCTGCTTCTCTCTTCCTCTTCTTCCCGCCTGAAATCATAAGCTTATTTTTTTCTTTTCTTTTTTTTTTACAGAGAGAGAGAAAGAGATTTTAATATTTATTTTTTAGTTTTTTAGTGGACACAATATCTTTATTTTATTTTATGTGGTGCTGAGGATCGAACCCAGCGCCCCGCGCATGCCAGGCGAGCGCGCTACCGCTTGAGCCACATCCCCAGCCCCATAAGCTTATTTTTTAAAAGAAATTTAACCAAATGAATGATTTAGTAACTCCAAAAGTTTTCTGAGGCCAAGGTCCCTGACTTCTTTAATTTTGTGTCCCAAATATCTGGAACAAAACCTCCCCAGAATGGCTGCTAGTAGCTCTCATTATAATTAGCAAAACTGCTCTTAATTGAATGAAAAGCTTTAGTGGCAACTTTTGTCAAGAGGCAGTAAGCAGAAGCAAATTCTTTGTTTGTTGGTTTCTGAAGTATTGGGAAGGAGCTGTACCCTTGAATGCCCCTTAGCTGCTGGGAAAGGGTGGTGTCCATTTGGATAATGCCAGGAAGACTTAATTGAGGATCCATTATCCTAAAATGTCTCACTGGACCCTTCCAAAATTGAGATTTCCATTCTGAAGTTTTTTGATTTAGGATGCTCATAAAATTTTAAATGTTCCATGCATCCACCACATAGAGTATTTCTGGTTCAGTAAGGAACACAATGCCCTAGAACATTACTGTGATCCCAAGATATTTTTGGAGAAAGTCCAGTGGGAAAGAGTCTGGTATTTCTTTATTAGTATTCTAATCATGATCTATCCACGGTGGTAGGTACTTCCACATCAGGAACCCGGGAAGAACTTGAAATTCGTCTTAAGCCATAAGACTTTGATACTAGAGATTCAACTCAGGCATTTTACCGCTGAGCAACATCCCCAGTTCTATTTATTTATTTAGAGACATTCTCACTCAATTTAGTGAGATCACCTCAAATTTGTGATCCTCCTGCCTGGGCTTCCTCAGTTGCCTGGACCACAGACCTGTGCCACTGTGTCCAGCTTACTGGGTGTTCTTGCCAGTAGTCTTGGAGTAGCCCTCCCTTGCCCTACTTACAATGACCCTGTGCTTGCCTTACCAGGTGGCTGTGTAGCCTGATTTCCTGCTTTCTGCTGTTACTCATCGTGATTTTTTTTTACCTGGGCTTGCTGTGTGGCGTCTACGGCTATGACAAGCACGCTACCCCAACCACCAGAGGCTTTGTATCCAACACGGGAGGCATCTTCCTCATGGTGTGAGTGTTTGCTTCTCTTGGCACCTGGGTGTGGAAACGTGGGGAGGAGAGCAGGGGCTGTCTGTGGCATTACACCAGACTTTGCCCTCTGGGCCACACACTCTGGGTTTCAGTGGAGTAGGCGTCTTGGGGTGATGGTACTGTCAGATTTGGGTGCGTCCATCAAGTAAAAGAAAGCTAAATGGGTTCCACTTTGATTGAGCAGCTTAAAAGACCTGTTTACAAATGGTGAGCTCCCTTTAAAAGCAGCTCTCATGGTGGTCACTTCCAAGTTCACTTTCTTGACTCTCACTGTTTCTTCTTCGCGTTCATTCATTCATCCATTCACTCTCCAGAAACTGGGAGGACCTCCCGTCGGACACCGTGCCATGTGGCTAGGACTGCTGCTAGCTTGCCACTCAAGGAACTTGAGTTTAGTAGGGTGTGCCGACCCAGCCCCCTGGGGATTTACATACATAGCCTAAATTAGGGACAAGAACAGAAGTGAGGTACCATAGAGTGGTGAGCCCCTGGCACTGCTTCAGAGGCCTTCATATGTAGGTTCCTGCATTTGGGAACCTTTACTCCAGCAGACAGCAGCAAAGCAGAGTGGGCAGGAGCCAGCAGGTGTGCCTGGAGCTAGAGCCAGGAGTGCCAACCAGTGGGATGCAGGTGTAGTGGCTCTGTGTGCCCCCCAGAGAAGCCATGTGGGCTCCCAGTGTGCGTCTCTGTTCTGCTGAGCTCCACCGAGGGCGAGTGGCAGGCTGTGGATGGGGTGGGGGGAAGGTAAAGCCTTGAAACAACCCTTTGAGGAATAGCCTCATGCTCCCGTCTATCTCCTCAAGCCACTAGTATGGGAGTGGCAAGGGCTGGAGAGCAGGTGGCACACCACCATCTGCTGTGTCAAACATGGGATCACTATAAAATTAATATAAGATTAATTCTTATAAAATTAATTCTTCAGAGCTGTGAACCCAAGTCCTTTCCCCCAAATGGGCGCCAGTATAGCGCAAGCCCTTACTAACATTAATGTGGCACAGGGATCCTAAAAACATCCTCAAAGCTAATGGCCTGAGACTGCTAGGGCCAGAAGAAGAGCTGCACACAGGGGAAGCTTGTTTCTCACACACCCGGATTTAAGAAATTACGCTCAAATGCAAGTACCTCCGAACTGGGAATGAAAAGAATTAAAATTTAAGCCAGCAAGGAAAAAAAAAGATATTTGTCTTGCCTTTTTGGTCAAATATACACAGACACAGGTAGGAAACCAGTTAAGCATTGCAAGTTGAATAATGCGGGCGTTCGGCAGTGGTCAGGGTTTTTGGTGGCGAGTGTTTCCATTCCACCTTTTTAACTGCTTGAAAGGGGAGTAGTACCTCACTTTAAAAAGACACATTCATAAGTTCTGTTCACAGTTTCTTTGGGATCAACACAAAATCTGACATCTAGCTTCAAAGAAAAAGAACAGGGAAATCGCCAACAGACTGGTGGAGGTTACAGGCGCCTTCAGTTGAGATGGAATTCTTCTGCAGATTAAGGGATTTCTAAGGAGATAGAGCTCTGTGGAAACCTTAGGGTTGGGGGCAGGAAGAAGGCAGGTGACAGGACAGATTACCTGCCCAGAGGCAGGATGGCTGTGATTGCTTCACTGTTGACCATCCTCCGCCCTCATGGCAAGCTTTGCTGTGCTGGGCAGAAGTCTCCACCCCTTGGGACATCTGTCAAGCAGCTGGATAGATGCAAAGGGGAGTGGGGAATGACGCAAGCCTAGTCCATCTAATCAGACTGACCACCAGAGTGAAGTTTTTTCTTTCCAGCTGTCGACTCCCTGGTAGAAATCAGGAGACTCGTGTTTAGTTCTGCTGTAACCCCGTCCCCACCTGCTCTTTAAAAGCAATGACACTGTCCTATCAAGAGCATGCAAGAATTCCCATCTCCCAAAAAGATTCTGGTGAGAGACTGGAGGAGTCTTCCTTACACCTGGCTCTGCCTGGGTCCTGCCTGCCGAGGGTCCCCAGAGCATTTAGGGGTTGAGCAGGATGCCGCGGGGAACATGTTTTGTGCTGCAGCGATGGAGAGGGTTCCCAGAGACAAGGGAACCTAACATATGCAGTGACAATCTCCTGCACTGAAGCTCATGATAAAACTTTGAAAACAATGTCCCCATCACCTAGACTTATGGGCGACCACAAGCGTAAGGAAGGGGCACATCTGTGTGGCTGGTGGCAGTGGGAAGACCAAAATGCCCTTTGCCCAGTAATTCTTATTTTAGAGAACCTCTGGCAAGGAAGTAGACCAAACTAGGAAAGAAGCATCCTAAGCAGGGGTGTGTTTTTGTGATTCGATGTATAATAATGAGGCACTGGAGATAGTATGTTTCAAGAGATCCCCAGCCAAGTGTGGTGACGCACACCTGTAATCCTAGTGGAGTATCATGAGTTCAAAGCCAGCCTCAGCAACTTAGCAAGACCCTGTCTCAAAAATAAACTAATAAATAAAAAGGGCTGGGGATGTGGCTCAGTAGTTTAGTGCCCCTGGATTTCAATCCCTGGAAATAAATAAATAAATAAGGTTTTCATTATGCAGGAGAGCAATCTGTGGTGGCTTCTCTCTTCCCAGATAAATGTTTCTCTCTAAGCTGCTGACTCCTGAGGTGTTCTTTAGCCAGAAGTCTGCACTGCACACACGTGTTGAACTCCTACCTGACATCTTCACTGCAGCAGGAAACATCACTGACATCTTTCTCACCTTCTCTTCCTGTAGGGTGCCTCAGTGTTCCCTTCCACCACCCTGGGGCCCCTCCCCACCTTTATGCTTTCTTGCTGCCTCTGGACTCCTGTATCCCTTTCATCCACTGGTTTCTCTCCATCAGCAGTGTCCCATCTGGGCTGATGCCTGTCCATCCTTCTCCCTGCACCAAGAGTGCTCTCCTTACTAGAGAAACCAGGCTGTGTTCTTCCCAGGCCCCATTCAGTTCACCCCTCCCTGCCTCTGGAGCTGCTGTTGACGCCATTCTCCACCTTTCCTGTGGATGCAGAGTTATCTTGGTCCCTTTCAGACTCTCAGGGGAACACTTTCTGCTTAGAATCTCTCACCCTACTGTATCCTTTGAAGAAAGGATTGGTTCTCAACTGACGCCAAAGCCCAGGCTCTAGCCCATAATGCTAGACAGCATTCTGGTCTGCTATGGTCTGCCAAGGACAGAAAGACCACAGTGCTGATCCCTTCCCTCCTCACCCCCAGGCGGGCTGATCTGGTTAACCTGCACAATGCAGAGGAACAGGTCCACTTTGTACACTGACCAGGTAGTAAGCACTGCTAGGTAATATAGACTAATTCCTTGCAGAATTACTGACTTTATTTGTGTTTTTGGTTTTTTTCCCAGTGGAGTTGGATTCTGTTTCCTATTTTGCTGGATAGTGATGATCCTTGTGGTTCTTTCTTTTGTTCCTGGTGTGAATATGGAAAAACTGATCTGTGAACCTTATGCAAATGGGAAGATATTCCAGGTAAATATGCTTTTCTACTCACTGTGGGAGGACTCGAATGGACACTTGGGTTTCTCCATGTCTTGTGGGTTACTTGAAGAGCAGTGGTCATGGTTTTGGTAGCGAGTGTATCTCACCACCAAAAACATGAGGAGTTTGCTCTTTTTACTGGGGTGGCAGGCGTGGGTACCAAGGATTAAACTCAGGGGCACTCAACCACTAAGCCACGTCCCCAGCCCTTTTTAAAATTTTATTTAGAGACAGGATCTCACTGAGTTTCTTAGAGCCTCACTGTTGCTGAGCCTGGCTTTGAACTTGCAATCCTCCTCCTGGACCTCCTGAGCTGCTGGGATTACAGGCAGGCGCCGCTGCACCCTGCTGAGTAGTTTGCTTTTAATTCAACAAGTTGATTCTATTTGCAAGACCAAAAAGCACACACCCATACACACACAGAAAGATACATACATAGTAATATAATACATATAATATAATACATACATATAATAGTATTCTCATTTTCTGATTGTAAATGAAGTCAGTTTCAGGAGTTAAGACTTGCACATTGATGTGGATTGTAGTATTTTGAGAGAGTAAAATTCTTCTTAGCAGTAGTTTCCAAAGGAGGCTGAGACCATCAGGAGATAAACTCCAAGGTTCCTCCCTCACCTTTCTTGAGGTTTGTGACATTGTAGATTTTTCCCAAGTGACAAAGATATCACATGGTTCATGGCCCTAAATTCAAAGTGAAAGAGATTAATAAGATACACCCCATGGCAGAGGGTCGTCCTAGGTGGATATATGATGGTCAGTCAGGAATGGAATTCAACTTTCACTTTTTCTCTCTAAGACCAGCTTCCCCTGACTCTGGGATGCAGATGGCAGTTTTGTCTGGCTTCTAACTTAGACTTCCCAGTGTTTTTCTCCAGACTGATTTTTTTTTTTTTTAAGTATGGGCCAATTCTGATTTGTAAAATACAATTTTATTTCCTTCTTTAATTGTATGTCTATTTTTCATCTCAAATCAGGTGAGATGAAATCAGTAAATGACTACAAAGGCAGCCACTTGTCATTGGAGTTTGGGCAGTTCAGTTAGTCAAGAGAAGTTAAATTGAGTTGATTGATGATCACATTATCTCCATTTGGCTTCTTAATAAAAAATAACAAGACATCAAACCAGGATTTATTATCTCCTGTGTAGTGTTGAATCCTTTAGCATAATTCTTTAAAATTAGAGGATATTTTAAAAATCATTTATTCAGATTGAGCATCCCCAATCTAAAACTCCAAAATCCAAAATTTTCCAAAATTTGACAAGGGGAAAATTTTACACCATGAAACGTTTCATGTACAAAGTCATTGAACATATTGTAAAAATTATTCTCAGACTCTGTGTACAAGGAGTATGTAAAACAAGTGAATTCTGTGTTTAGACTTGTGTTCCATCCCCATTTTGTACACGCAGATATGCCAAAGTCAAAAAACAATCTGAAACTGAAACCATTTCTGGTCCCAAACATGTCAGGTAAGGGATCCTCTTACCCTGCTCTTACCAGGCAAATACCTGGCCATGCACATAAATATATGTGGTCCAGAGTCAGAAGGCATGTGAGTCTTCATTTACTGTGTCCAGAGGGAAGTCGTGAAGAAGCTGTGTCCCCACTTTATGACTTTATATTGGCTAGTTTCAATCAAATGGTCTATTTTACTCTCATTTCTAATGTGTTTACTAAATAAATTTGAGTTCTCAAAAAAAGTAATTTTCATAATTTTTATCAAGGCTGTGGTCGATTGATTTATTCCAGTTACACTATTATTTTCTAGTTTCAGGCTGGAGATTAAAGAGAAATATTGTGATATAAAAAAATCTTAAAAATAATTTAGAGAATATTCATTTTGATATTTGTATGCATGTTAATATAAAAAAATTTAACACTTTTTCTAGATTTTGGACACCCCCTACTTACTAAACAAGGAATGGAAATACTACATCTCTGGCATGGTTCTTAAAAAACCAGATATTGAGCTCACTTTTGAACAAATTTACAGGTACCAATAATTGCATTGTATGTTTTGCTATTTAAATTTTTTTTTTCAGATAAGAATTTTGCTTTCAATCTGTTTCTTTTTACCTTACTCATAAGGCTTTTCAGTTTCAGAGCTAAGCTGTCCTCTAGACTTAGCAAAGAGATTGTAGAAATGAGGCCCCAAAGAGAATTCTTCCCTGAAAGCCTTTGAAACCTGGAGATGATGATGCCTAAGGCCCTTATCTCCAGGTATCTTTGGGGTTCCCTGGAGAAGGTGACCCTCCCTATGTTGCATTAACAGGAACCTGTGAGAATCAGTGAATGTGTCCAAATCACAGCTGTGATAATAACAATGCAAGACTGGGTGCGGTTGAGAGGCTGAGGCAGGAGGATCATGAGTTCAAAGCCAGCCTCAGCAAAAAGTAAGGCACTAAGCAACTCAGTGAGACTACTCTGTCTCTAAAAAAAAAATAGAAAAAATGACTGGGGGTGTGGCTCAGTGGTCAAGGGCCCCTGAGTTCGATCCCTGGTACCAAAATAATAATAATAATAACAACAACAACAACAACAATGCAGGTACAGGGCTGGTCCTGCAGTGAGGCCACCTAGGCTCCCATCCTTTCTCTGCAGCTGGGGGCCCTGTGACCTTGAGCAATTCTACTTCCTCTCCATTCAGTAGGGATCATGACAACAGAAATCTCACCTTGGGTCTTTTGGGGTCCAATGAAATTAGAACAGTACCTGACACTTTATAAAGACATGACAACAGGCGTGGGTGTGGCTCAGCGGGAGAGCCCTTACCTAGCATGCGAGACCTTGGGTTTAATCCCCAGCACCACATAAACAGAACAAATCATGGCAAAATACCTGTTCTTACTTATGATTGTTCATCAGCACATTTAAGCTCCTGTCTGATACACAGATTTCTCTAAACCTTTAAAACCTTCTGGAATCTTTAGGGTTTTACTTGCTGCTGTGGTGACGTGCCACAAATTGTTCTCCTGCATAATGGAAAACTTTTTTTAGGGGGAGGGGTACCAGAGACTCAACCCAGGGGTGCTTAACCACCGAGCCACATCCCTAGCCCTTTTTATTTATTTACTAATTTTGAGACAAGGTCTCACTAAGTTGCTTTGGGTCTCAACAAGTTGCTGAGGCTGGCTGGGTTTTTTTTTATTATTATTATTAATTTTTTTTTTAGTTGTGGATGGATACAATACCTTTATTTTATTTTATTTTTTTTTACGTGGTGCCAGGGATCGAACCCAGTGCCTCATGTGTGCTAGACAGGCGCTCTACCTCTGAGCCACAACCCCAGTCCTGAGGCTGGCTTTGAATTTGTGGTTCTCCTGCCTCAGCCTCCTGAGCTGCTGAGATGACAGTCATGTGCCACTGCGCCCAGCCCTTTTTGTTGTTTTCAACCTTTTTGTCATTTGCCTCTTTGCACCTCCAAAGAGGGGGACACCCTCTCCTTGGCAGTGAGATCATAGCCGAGTGAGTTGAATTGACCTTCTAAATCTTCCTTAAATCTGTCTCCTCTTCTTGCTTGCAGCTTCCCATTTCATCCTGCAAGTGTCTGGGAATGTGATGTGACCCAACCAAACAGATCACTTCCCGCCTTAATGTCAGCAGCTCCATAGTGCCACCAGCTGAGGTCACAAACAAGTGGTGCATGCATCCACCCCGCTCAACCTGTACTCAGATTGTTAATCAGTCGTATAGTCTTCAGCTTAACCCAGGGAGTCTCAGGGTCTTTCTCAATAGCAAACTCTAAGCAGACATTATCAACCCATTGGAGCCTCTATGCACAATTCAGCCTGCTCATCATCCCCAGGCTGGGAGGCAAGGCCTAGCATCTTAGCTGGCATGCAGCAATTTGTGACCGGCTCTTGCAGAACTCTGCAATATTACCTTTGTTGGTGCATTGAGGTCTGGGTTCCAACAGCACCACCTGGTTGTTGGAGCAGGTATCACACTTCCTAGGAATGTGGGCAAATTGCTGCTCATGGCATCCTGCAGGGGCAGAGGGCACTGGCTCTTGTGGCAAGGAAGACACTCTATTATGTGACTCTATGTGTGGCAGGAATATGAATCCTACCAGCCCTATCCTTCTTAGCTCAGTTAGATAAGCACTTCCCCATTTTAGAGATGGGATTGAGGCATGGAGAGCTGAGGACATTTCACCCAGGTGGCCAGATTAGTTTTATGGGCAAACCGCACCAAAAGTCTGGATGTCTGTGGGTCCTCACCATTAGAATAGATGTCAAAGCATATGTTTAGTCAATATAGCCCAGCCCGGGAAATATTCTTGACAGGGGCTTGATAGAATCTTTTAATAAAGCCCATGATGCACTTTGCAATGCACCTCTTTCTAGTGAGTATTATTTTTGTATTTTTATGAGAATTTATTTCTTCCCAATTTGTAAATTTGTCCACAGCAGTACAGACAACAGTGTAAAGGAGACAGGTGCAAGGACACATTCATCAGTGCTATTGTATCTGTTCCAAAATTTGGACTGTTGACAAAAGAGGAAAATAAGTCAGGAGTGGCAGGTGCCAGCCATTCACGTGGCTGTGGGTGATAACCTGAACCCACTTAGTCACAGATTGCACAGCAAGAAACAGTTAACCTCCCTCCTCACTCTCAGATATGGACAGAGGTCACCATGCTGCTTTTCTGGGTGGTGATTTCTATGTTTGCTCCCACAGCGATTGCAAAAACAACAGAGGAATTTATTCCACACTTCAACTCGAGAACCTCTTCAATATCAGCGAGAGTCTCAACATTCACAAGGTGAGTCCTTAGAAACCAGTTCTGGACCTGACACATTGTTTTACTAAATCCAATTGTTTTTCCTTCTTTTTGTTAAAATTGCTGTGAAATCTGCAAAAGATAAAACAAGCCACTTTAAAGGGACATTTAATATGTTCGGTGTTAGGCAATCTTCACCTTTATCAAGTTCAAAACATTTTCTCACCCCCAACCAGTTGTCTTTCTTGCAGTGTGAGGTCTTTGATTTTTTATGCAAGAGCCTCCCAAGAGGCCTTACTTAGGACATGTCCCAGGGAGAGATTCCACTTCACTCAACGTAGATATTCCTATGAAAGCAACCCCCACTTGCTTCCCAGGGAGGCTGGTTCTCCAAGACCATCACCCCTTGTCTGACAGGTCCTAGGATTGGGAGGAACAGTCCTCACCATCCTTATTCCTTATGATCACACTGTGGCCCCAGGACTGCAGGGTCGTCTCTGCTGAACCATGGCAAGAAGGAAGGATGGAAGCAAGCCAGATAGAATGACTTTCCCTCCTATTTTGCTTTAGCCCACGCCCCAGTCTTGACTCTTAAGATTCAAAGAAAACGCCATTCCAGAGCATGCTGGTCAGAAGAAAGAGGAATAGAGTCCCACTGCCCCAGTCTGGAGTGCTGTTAGCCCAGACCCTTCCACTCCCCTGTGCCTGGACGCCTCCTCTGGCCTTCTTGGTTGTGCAGGAAAGAATGTCGTCCTCTTACTTTTGGGCTTCCAGCACGAGAGCAGATTCCAGGCAGAATTAAGGAAGAGGCATTCACCAAGTCCTGCAGCTCTGGCAGTAGAGAGACCAATGGGGTCATGATGACCTGACAGTTTTCAAATGTAAAGAGCTTTAATTCAAAACCTGCATATGAATTTTGTTTTGATTCTCTTCCCTAAATATTGCTTATTGCCCATAAATAAAATGTGATTTTGTCACCAAATCCTAATTAGGTGTCCTCTTCCCCTTTGCCCATCATGCCATGGGCCATTTTCCTTGTGCTGTGCTGGGTAGCAGTTGAGAGTGTCACTGGGACACTGAGGCACTCCCTGACTTCTGAAACTACTGGTGGGCTACTGAGTCAACCCCAGGTCAACCACCGCATTCCCATGACCTTTGCCCAAGTAACTAAACACTGTTTCCCAGAAGACGTCTCCCATGTCTTTCTCTTGCCCAGCTCTAGAGCAAGGCGGTCTCTTCCCTAGAATGCCTGCCCACCTGTCCCTGTCAGCATCTCTGTTGGTCAAGCCTGGGTGCTCCAAAGCCACCTCCTCTCTACTCTCTGTGCTCCCAGCCTCTTTTCTTGAACTCCTCTCTCCCTGGTGCCCTAATGGAATTCTTGTGCCCCTCTTATGACACAGCCTCTTCCTTTTGAGGTCTTTTTGACAGGGAGATGAGATCTTATTTTACTTTGTACTTGAAAAGTGCTTACCACAGGATATAAGAAGCCATGGAGGCAGGGGAGGAAGAAATCCCAGTCAAATATAGATATAAATACACACCCATGTATGAATATATACCGTATGTCTGTATGTGTAAACAGACATATGTATGTGTGTATATGTATGTATGTATATTCTTGCATAGTTTTATTGCCCTTTTAAAGCATTAAGTACTTGACATGCTTGGAGAGTAATGGCTTGGTTTCCACGTCTTGTTTCATCAGCATACTGACAACATAAACAATCGACTTGAACGTCTGGATATAAAACTTGGTGGCATTGTTCTTCTGAATGAGGAAGGAAAAAACAACCTCAAGGAATTCTCTAATAGTGGGATAGACAATATAGATTATGACACCCTCTTGGCTCAGGTATCACCCACTTATGCCTGTGTGATCTGGGGGAGAAAGTAGGGCACCAAATGTGTGTACTTCATTTTTTAGCGTTGTTTTTTTTTTTTTTTTTTTTAATGAGAAGAGATTCAGAGTATAAATTGCAATTTTAAATTGTGCGGCTTAGTGACATTTAGTATATTCACACTGTCACACCATTTTATTCTACCTAATTCTAAAACATTTTTATCACCCCAAAAGAAAAGCTATGCCCATTAACAGTCTTCCTCTGTTCCCCTCAACTTGGCAGCCATCGGTGTGTGCTCCATTTCTATGGATTGACTTATTTGGATACTTCATGTAAATGAATCATACAAGAAGTGGCCTTTGGTGTGTAGCTTGATTTTGAGGTTCACATAGCATGTTTTCACCCATGTCTTAGCATGTGTTGGCATTTTATTCTTTTCTATGGTTAAATAATGGGTATAAATTAAAATGCAAATGTCACCTATGGAGGAGTTTCTTCAATCTATTAGATGTTGTTAAGGATTAAAAATCCCATAACACAAATTTTTTATTTCTTTTGTAGAGTAAAACCTCTCCTGGGAAAGTGAATCTTTTATCATTTTCATATGATCTTGATACAAAAGCAGACCGTTTGGTGAGTTCACATAGTTGGGTTAAGTGCTGTAGCAGTGTAGGTGTCTAATGTCAGTGCCACCAAGAGGGAAGCTGCTGCAGAGGTCCCTTTCACTGTGAGTGAGTCCAGCCTTGCTGACCGCCCCTCCTGTGCATGTGGAAAGTTGCCCTCAGTGGTCATTGCTGTTTGGCCCCGATGTCGCTGGAAGTTTCCAGGGCCCACCTCCATCCCCACCGATTCCTTCACCCTCAGACCCCCAAGTGTGAGCACATGTGCTTCTGTATGTGCAAGCACACACACGTCACTTTCCTTGCAGTGTAGGGAACAGAGAGAGGACAGGGGAAAAGTCCCAGGGGTTGCTTTGCTGCCTCATCAGCAAGAAGTGGCTGAGGAGGGCAGAGGCCCCAGTGGGCCCACAGACTCTGCTTCGTCATCACCTCCGCTGGTCGGTGACTGCATGGCCTTCACTGGCCCTTTGTAGCATCAGACCATGGTGATGAGAACGTGGGCTTTGGAGGAAAACCCAGGTTTAAACCCTGACTCAGTTTCTTTCCAATGGTAGGAACTTGAGCAAGGTATTTCAACCCTCTGTGCCTCAGTTTCCCCATCTAGCAAATGAGGGCAATAGTACTTATGGGATTCTTGTAGTTGGCATGCCAAAACCCATTTTAAGTGTGGGTTAAATATAAAGCTCTCGGTTGAACTTTGGTTTTCTCATCTGTAAAACAGAGAAACCAATGGTGGCTCCTCCGCCTCCTGAGGGCAGTGGTGAGGGGACCCAGTCTCTGGCACTCGGAGAGGGCTCATGAGTGCAGGTATTGCCGAGTCCATGGTTCTGATCCGAAACAGAATATTTTGTGCTGCCCCTTTCCGCCAGCCCTTGTGCCCACCCGTGGCCGCCATTGCCTAAGGAGAGCCATGTGCTTATGTTACAGCTGCCAGAGTCTGGAAGGATCCTGTGGATCTTGACTTATTTTCTCTTTGTAGCCCCCCGGACAATTAAAGCACTCCATGAACTCAGAAGCGCAAACTATTAGAAAAATTCACCAGGATCAAGTCCTTCCCATGGAGAAGACACAGGTAACCATCAGCTACCTATGATATAATGGTGATCTCAGCAAAATGGGTTGCACCTCCTTGACTTAGACCTAGTCTGAGGCCACATGCACATCTCATGGAGGTCTCGTCCAACTGGTCTCAGCCTCAGCAATTGAGCTAGGCTTTGAAGAGCACAAAACTCAAATCTTATTTTCTTCTCATTTTCCCAGTGGAGTGTGAGCAGTTAGCTTTGGTCTGTGCCTGCCCCCCCACTCCCTTGCTGTGGTCTCCATTGCTGTTAACACACCCTCCAAAGCCAGGTGTCTAGCACATCAGGTGCTGATCATTTTGCTCTGGACTTAATCTCATATATTCTCTAATTCTTTCTCTCCAAACTCTGCCTAGAAATATGTGAAAGTGAGGGTAAGTGCTTTTCTTCCTGCGTCCTGTCTGCTCTGTTACTGTCTTGATGGCCATTGCTGCCTTTCTTCTCTTTCCCATCCCTCTCGACCTGTCTCATTGCTTGAGACTATCAAGGCAGGCTTGTAGCAGAGGGAGAACAAGGACTTTGGAACCAGGAAGATCTGGCTTCAGGGCCTGCTTCTGCATCTCCAAAAACTATAGTATCTCAGTTTCCGCATCTAAAAACAGAATATTAAAAAAAAAATGAGATATAACAAGGGTGGGAAAGATTCCTGCATTGCTATTCTCTGGTTCATGGAGATGTCAGACCTCTGACCTCAGAGGACTCAGGAATCAAAGAGTTGTTACTAGACTTGCATATGGGTCATACTCGCAGCTGTCAAGGCGGGAATTGTGTGGAAACTGGGTTACTAGGTCGGTTGCTCAAGTCTGGAGACGGGGATTAGGTCTACCTGCTCTGACATCTGAACCTTCCTGATGGAGTTTTTTCTCTGTCTCGGTCTCTCTCTTCTTTTCTGCCTTCTGACTTCCTAGTTCCATGGAGGATGCGCAGCGTCTTCCTGCGGAGGAGCTCACTTTCCTGTGTGCCGTGCTCATCACTCTGTTCTGCTATCTGTGTTCAGATCAGAACAAATCTGTTAACATTAGAAACTGCTTTTGCAGCTTGTCTTCAAGCAGACAGGACCCCTTGGCCTTTTCAGAGTTAGGGCACCTTGTCCACAGAAAGACAAGGGGGTCAGCCAACTGCAGTCTGAAGGCCAAATCCTGCCAGCTTTTGTAAACAAAGTTATTGCAACACGGTAGTGCCCAGTTATTTCCAAACTGTCTGTGGCTCCTCTTGGCTATAAAGGTGAAGTAAAGTGGAGTTGTTGGAACAGGCCATTGCCTAAAGCCCAAAATATTCATTCACTCTCCAGCCCTTCATAAGTTTACCACCCCAAACCAAAATCATCCAGGGGTGCCACACTGTAGGGCAGGCTGTGTTTTAAATGCCTTCCACTTTGATCAAATCAGTTCAAAGGCATTTCTTGGGCACCTTGCATGTGATCTGCACCCTTTCCAAGCTTTTGAACAAGTATCCTGATTTCTTACACCAGGTACACATCGTTACTTGTTGGTTTTTCTAGAATGAGACCTTTGCAGTGTAAGATCAGATTGATGGCTATTATGGGGAGCTCCCTTGTTTAATAGTTTTGACAATATTTTCTGTTTTTTCACCAGGATGATGTACAAAAAAATATCAAGATACTTCAACACACAAGTGGGGGACTAAAGGCAAGGATGCATTTTGTTTTTCTGTCACAGGGTTTGTTATTAAATACCATGCATAGAATTTCAGAGACATTGATTTTTACAAGTACTTTAAATTTTAAAGAAAGTCTCAGGTATGTACCCATCTAAATACCCAATTGGGTTTTCCTACCATTTCCCTTCTACTTGTGCTTCCATAAATGCTGACCTCTCCTAGCAGGTTGTCTATAGAACTGAAATCTATTTTGATGCGTAGAAACTTAGAAGGTAACATGGGGCAATCTCACAGAGCTATCGATGCCTAGCAAACCAGTGTCAAGGCTCAGTGCCCTCTAACTGCATCCATCTCACTGCTGGGCTGCTCACAGGCTGCTCAACTTATCTCCCCCCTTAGATAGGCAGCCTGAAGGAGCAGCCCCTGTCATGGCCACCTCACATGCTCTTAGTGGGTACATGAGTTTAGGGTGACAGGAACACAGTTGTGTTTTAAGATACTGGTTAGAACTAGCACATTCCGCTTTGTTCATGTTCCCCTGGCCAAAGCAAGTCACATGGCCACACCCATGATCATCATGGTCAGAGCAGAGAAGTACAGTTGTCCCTCACTGGGGGAGGGGTTGGTTTCAGAACCTTCCATGGACATCAGAACCCATGAGTGCTGAAGTCCCTTGCATAAAATGGCATACACAGTATTTGTATATAACCTCTGCACATCTTCTCATATACTTTAAATTCTCTGTAGATTACTAAGACTACTCAACGCAATGCAAATGCTATATGAATAGTTATTATACTGTAATGTTTAGGGGATAATAACAAGAAAACAATCTCATATGTGTTCCATATACTTTTTTCCCAAAAAGATTAGTTGAATCCCCAAATGCAAAATCTGTGAATTTGGAAGGCCAATTATGTGCTCTAAGCCCTGAGAAGTCATGCCTGAGAAGGTGTCAGTCGTCTGGAACAGTTGCTGCGCTCTACTGCAAGGGTACCCTAGCCACAAACACACCCACAACAGAAACTCAGCTCTATGGCTGTGCTATATTCATCTTGTACACAAAATGCCAACAAGCAACTCAATAAGGAAGAAAATATTTCCTTGTTGAGTAGGTAGGCTGCCCACAAAAGGCTTTGGCTATGAGCCCCACAGTGAAAATCTCGGTGTTCCTTCCTTCACCAATACCAGGACTCACTTTCTCTGAAGACATTCAGGTTTACTCTGCACTAGGACCCTCCCTACACCTCCAATTACTGGGGCCATTTCATCATGCTTTATCCCTTGCCAAGGGACCCCAAGAGACACCCTGCTGGCTACAGGCCCTTTGCTCCCTTCGGAGCAGCAGTGCATGCAGTTTGGGGTTGCATTCATGGGGCCCAGCCCAGGGAGCACTAGGGCCAGGACTCAGTTGTGACCCACTTGTCAGGCTGTGTTGCTCAGCACTTTGGGCAAAGGAACCCTTTTTCAGATTTTGCACCAAGCTCTCATGCAGGTTGGCCACAGTGCTATCTTGGAATGACAGTGCAGGCAAATTCCTACACCTTAGTGTGTTCTCAGCTTGGTGGTCTTGAGGTCGTCAGCCACCTACTCCGGGAACAGTGGCCAGCAGCACCCTCCTGCCCACTTTGCTGTGAGTTCTCCTAGAAGGAAGTCCTATGAAGGCTCCACTCCAGTGCTGACCCCCAAATGCCTGATCTTGGCTCTTCTCCTTCCCCTACCTCAGGTGACTGGGCCAGGTCATGGTGGCATTGGATTGGGGCACCAGTACTACTGACTGTCCGGATCCCTGGGGTCTGAATCTGCAGGTCCAGCCAGCCACAGAACGGAAAATATTTGGGGGAAATAACTAAGTCTGTACTGAACGTATACAGACTGTTTTTCTTCTCATTGTCCCCTAAAAAATACAGTGACGATTATTTGCATAGTATTTACATCGTGTCAGGCGTTATAAGTAATTTGGAGATGACTTAAAGTATATGGGAGGGTGTGGGATGTGTTGGTCACCTGCCATTTTACGTGAGGACTTGAAGATCTTTAAACTTGCTATCCCAGGGGCTCTTGAAATCAGTGTTCCCAGGGACAGCTGCACTCAAATTGATTTTCATATTGTCTGTTTAATTCCTCTTATCACTTGATCCCCTTCTAATTACTATTCTGTTTTCCAGGAGAAAGTGACCAAGATTCTGCAATCTTTGGATTCTGTTCAGATCTTCATAACAAACGATATTTCCTCCGTTATTGTGGAAGTGAGTTTTCTTTCTTAAAATAAGCCAATCAATAAATAGGCCTGTGAGCTTTCCATAATTAAGTCTCTGTGGTGTTTGAGTATGCTGTCATCATTTTAGTGGCATTACTGATCTTCGGTTTCTTTCTAGGAAACGAAGAAATTTGCGAAAAAAATCTTACGATATTTTGAACACTACCTAGAGTGGGTGGAGCTGGCTGTAAGTAGTTGACCTTCTATGAACATAAATGGGGTGTCCTAAGACAGTCATTGTCTAGGGTAAAATATGGAGGAAGTGAGGTTGAATTCCTGGTGATTGGACTGACACCAAGTAGAAGGGCTTTGAAGTGTGGAGACCAAGACCTCTGAGACCAGCCCACCAGGTGGGAGCCCCTTCCCCCTCCCAAATCCCCTCATGTCCCTTGGCACACCATTGTGACATGGGTTCCTCCATTTGCTTCTCACCTCCTTTGTCATATAACAAAGGGATCAGACTAAAAATTCAGTCTAAACCACTGCTGGATATGTGTGCTTTTAGTTCTCTCAGCAACCCTGAAGGGTGGGTCCTCTAGTTCACATAACATTTGAGGAAACTGGAAACCGAGGCTCAGAGAGAACAAGGTTCTTGCTTTGAAGTACTTGGATTCACACCTGTGGGACTCATCCGCACAAACCCCCAGTCAGCTCCACAACTCCGAGGAATGGAGGTCCTTATGTGAGACGGGCCACAAGGGTCTAATCGTTGTGGGGTTTGGTGATCTGCTCACTCAGTTTTTCCATGTCCCTCACCTCCATAGGTCACTGAGAAGATGGTGCCCTGCAAGCCTGTGGCCACCGCCATGGATTCTGCTTTTAAAGTGATTCTGTGTGGCTTCATTGTGGACCCTCTGGTGAGAACTCCATCTTCCAAAAGCAGACGTGTTAAACCCATCATCTTGATTGTTTCCCCCCAGATGGAAATACACTATAATATTTGTTTATATTAGTTTATTTATTTTGGTTTAGAACCCAAATCCTAAACCCTAAAATTTAGATCAGTGTGTTATGATACCCAGTAGACCAAAACAGTGACAGTCCTGTTTACAGCTACTCGTTCCTTACTAAAATCACACTTGGAAGTTGGGAGACTCCTCTTGGTGGGAACAATCAGAAAGGAAGACTCCTTGCTGAGCTGATAGCTAATATCAGGAGATTCTTCATGTGACTTTCTGCACAAGCCCAGTACTAAAATCCAGGCTTCATTTTTGTTTTAAAAGTCCTTTAACATGTGACACCTGTGACGGCAGATTTCGGTTTATCAGATTTGTTGCTCGCCTCTGTTCACCCTCAGCTTGCACTGACCCTGTCTGTGGGCAGATTCTCTTGCTTCTTCTGCTCAGAGTGCCGTGGTGGTTTCCCCTTGCTACCACGATGAAGGCCAGCACCCTTCAGAGAACACGCCAGCCGAGCACGATGGCGTCCTGCCCACCCAGGTCGCATTATGTGCTACTTCCCACCTTTCTCCCTGGGCTCCAGACATGCTCAATTCCTTTCACTTCTTCAAAGTTCCCCACCTCTAGGCCTTTGCACATGCCCAACTTCCGGTCTGCAGACCGTCTCCCTCTCTCTTTCTCTCTTCTCCCCACCCTTCCTATGCATTGGACTAACTTCTCAGATCTGTTAGCAGAGGTTGAGAACATGGACTCTGAATTCAAATGCCACTTCTACCCTTTCTGAACTCTGACTTTGAAACACCATTGACATTTCCTGAGCTTCATCACCCGAATGGGGCTGTTTTGATGGTTCAGCTACCTTCCATGTAAAGCCCTTGACACCATTACTGGTACATGAACACCCTCTGTAGCTGTTAGCAGTCCTTTGTTGTTCAGTTTTCTGAACTGTATCCTTTTCTCTGGAAGGATTTTATGATCCTCCAAACTTACAGGATCCCTTTTCCACATTCCCACAGAATTCTGTGCTTTTCCTGAGAAATATAATTGCTGTTGAATTACGCACCAGTGTGTATCTCCAAGATCTGGCCTCTGCAACACACACTACACTGAACTGCACGACAGAGGGCGCTGCTGTGCCCTTTGCTGGCACAGAGCATTCCTAAGGCATGCTGATCAGAGAACTCAGTGCATCCCTGCTCTCTTTCTCCATCTCCCTCTTCCCTGCTCACAAGTTCATTTGCTGGCTGGACTTGCATAGCCCCGAGGGGAATGATCCTTCCACTCTGGCACCCCAGGCCATGGCTTCTTGGCTGCTTACCTCCCGTGGCAACTTCTTGCCCTGTCTGTCCTGTGTTTGGTGGCCCTTGCTGCCAGCTTCTGTGGAAGTCCTCATTAGGCCAGTCCTGGGTTCACCTGATTGATTCTGAATTGACCTCGTCCTGGTCCATTCTCCATCTCCCATCACCCAGCAAATCACCCAGCTTCTAGATGCCTCTTTGCAAAGACTGGGGCAGAAAAAGGAGAGGTCTAGAGGCTGCTCAGGGGATAACAGGCTGGATCTTTGCTGCTGGTGGTGTACAGCGAGGAAGAGCTCTGGGAACCCCACTGCACCAACAAAATAGATGCAGGTTGGCCACCATGTCTCTTTAGTATCTTGATCACTCCTCAAAGGATTTAGGAAGCTTCCAGGGAATGGATGTGGCTGTCAGAAGACTGGAAAGCCTGGAAATTAGAGGCCAGGGAGATGCCACCAAAAACAACAGCCAGCTCATCCAGGAGTACAATAAAGCTGCCTGGCCAGGCTGGGACAGCAGGTGGAGGCTGGTGTCCCAGCTGCCTTCTGCCTCATTGTGGCTGGGGAATCTGCTCTGGTGGTCCTGCAGCATTGTCCCGAGGCAGGGCTTAGACTTGAACTTCCATAGGAGCCTGGAATGTGCAGGCTTACAAGGCCAACCAAGAAGGATGCTGATCAGAAGTGGTACCAGCCTGTGTGTACCACAGGGTCACACTGTGCGTAGCTGTTACTGCTTTGTTTGGTAACATTAAGGGACTTGGGGTTTCACTCTTCAAAGGATGACATGGTCTGTGCCCAAAGGAGGGCGAATGCTGCTCTTGAGGGAGAAGCATGACTCTTCTGCTGTTGGCTGTTGTCTCATGGGCAAAAGGGTCCAGGATATGAAATGCAATCTCAGATTTTTCAAGAAAAGACGTTAAGTTCAGGTTTATGTGTGAGATCTGACTTATAAATATTGGCAACTGTTTTTTAAAGGACACTTTAATTTTGCTTTTTAAGTAAAACATGGTTGAACTCAGCCTGTGGCCCACCTTCAGGGTGGTTAACATGAAACACAAGACTTCTCTTGAGACGCTGGTGTGTGGCCAGCTTTGCTTCTGTCTTGTTGACACAGTTGTGTTATGGGGTGAGGCTGCTGCGCCTCCACTGCTCAGACGCAGATCAAAGCGAGAAAGTTTCATGAGTCTAGCTCTGAGAAGGGGTGTGGACTCAGACCGGACAGCTGGCCATCCTGCAGGCTGGACGGCTGGGGCAACCAAGGGAGCTGTGGAGGTCGAGACTGGGAGTTTTCCTCGAGTGTCCTAAGTGAAATCCTGGCTACACTGCTGGCTGTTTCTGTTTGTCGTCTGGAAAATAAATGTAATTATATAATAAATATAGGATCTACTCAAAGTTTTCAGAAAAACAAACTGGATTGTAGCATGTGGCCCTTCAGACAATGGCTGGTTCATGTTACATTCACAAATAAATTTAAAGAACAAAATGAAGATTCATTTATAAAAGATTGCAAAACACATATTTTCTAATAAGCAGCTATTATTTTCCATTGCCCATCTTCAAGTATTTAATTTTCTTAAATTTTAATTTAACTTTTTGATTTTTCTTTCTCCCCAGAATTTGTTTTGGTTTGGCATAGGGAAAGCTACTTTTCTTTTACTACCGGCTCTAATCATCGCTGTGAAGCTGGCCAAGCACTACCGCCGCATGGAATCAGAGGATGTATATGAAGAGTAAGCATGAGCTTCCTTGAAGGTGGGGGTCGAAGTCCGGGCAGGACTTCAAGGAGCTGCTGCATCTGAGCTCAGATGACTGCAGCTGACTCTCTTCTAAAAAAAAATCTGTCCTGGTTTTGTTAAGTTTTAATGCTAATCGTGCCTTTTCACTCTTAATTAATCTCAACTTCATTAACCAGTCTTCTCATTTCTCCTTTGCAGTTGCTCTCGGTCGGGGACTTGGCATTTCACTTTATGATAACTTTTATTACTATTTTCCTTTCTATCCTGACATCGGTCCTTGGCTCTGTGTCTGGTGATCTCATGTGTTTCATATTCATGTCACTCACTTCCTCCAATATGGAGGAAGGTTAGGGTTAGGGTTAGGGTAGGGTTAGGGTTAGGGTCTCTCTGGAGTGTGCACTATTAATATCCATATTGGAGGACAAATGTGGAGAGTGTAGCTGTAGAGCTGAAATAGTCGCACGAAAATTAGTAATTTTGTCTCTACTTTTTATATTTTATGGTGTTGAAACTGTATGCATGGAAATGTAAGCCTTTTTAAAAAAATATATTCACACATGGGATGGGAGAGGATTTATTATCCTATGATGGACTTTAAAGTTAAATTAATAATATCTTTAAGTGACATAAAAATAATAGATACATCTAGGTAAAAATAAATTCTGACAGTTCTGAAAAAGAGGACTGGAACACAGAGGGTGTACAAGAAATACTCATTGAAGGAATGAATATTTTACATGTTAAAAATTACTAATCCATACAGAAATCATTCCCATCTTTGGGAGGCAGAGGCAGGAGGATCACAAGTTCAGCCAGTCTCAGCACCTCAGCAAGGCCCCAAGCAAATAGTGAATCAAAATTTTAAAAGAAAGAAAGAAAGAGGGTTATTTTACAAGTTGGTAACACAGACTTTGAGGTCCCAGAAACCTCTCAGCACACTAACATTGCCATGAACAATTTGCCATTTAGAAGTGAGTGTCAAAGCCATAGACATTCACTAATTCCTGGTCTCATACCGGAGTGCTGAGAACAGACAGCTGTGTGCCATCACCCATCCTGTCATGGCCCTGTCTGAGCCCTTTGCTACATTTGCTGTCCAAAACCTGCCTCCAGCATAGATGAGACAACACCCGAGCCCCCACTGGATGCACAGCTGCACCCCACGTGAGTACTCAACACTGAGGGCTTAAGAGGTGTGTGTGAGTGTCCTTG